ATAGCCAATCTTACCCATTTTCACAGAATGCAAGAATTAGGTCCTCCGTTTCCAGACTGACTAAGTAGAGAATTTTTACATGGGTCTAAAAATATGTTTAATTTCCCACAAAAATGCAAAAAACCTCATCTGCACGCACTTGTAAATCTCGCAAGCTGCTTTCTCTTAACACTTCCATTTTTAACACTTCCATTGTTAAGGAATACACTTCTTTCATCCCCCATGGTACCCTACTAAATGTGGTAGCCTACTAAACACAGTCAAAAACACAAAAAACCACATCTAAAATAGTATAATAGAAGCTGAGTTCTTCAGGGTAAGCCTTTATCCTCTCCCTCTCCCCGCGGGAGGGAATTTCAAAAAACCCCTTCTTAGTGTGCATTCTCATGACGTACCCTAACTGTGTACCAAATTTCAATTTTCAACTCCTAACCGTTTGGGCTCTGCACTTATTATTATTTTTATTATCAACCCATCTCAATTATATATATAGATTTGAATAGTGAATTTACCAACAAGGATGATAGCAGTTATTATTTGTAAATATAACTATTTATAGAATTCCAAATTATAGGAATTTTTAGGGAATTAACATTTACATATTCAAGGACTGTCATAGAAACAATTTTCAGAACACCTTTATTTTTGTTTTTAATTTCTTATTATATTAAGTCAAGATAAAATTAGTTTAAAATTCCAAATGATGTGTTTTTAAAAATTTTGTTTTATATTAACTCTAATTTTTTAAAAGCTTTAAAAAATTACAGTTAATATAAAACAAAAATTAAAATATTTGTTTTAATTTTTAATATTTTAATAAATAAATAAATGAGACTTAAACAAATATTTATAAGTATCTAAACTTTTTCTATTGCACATACATGATGCTTTCAGAAAATTTCCATGTTCTATTATGTAATTATGATCTCTTCTTTTTAAACTAAAGTTTAAGAATACAATTTACAATTTTTGATATGATTTTTAATTAAAAATCATGGTAAGACATTATGTATAAAAGCATTTTGCATTCTATAATAGAAAATAGTTTGAATATTTAAAATGCTTTGTTTGTTGATTTTTTCTTTTACTTGTGATATTTTTATTTTATATTAACTGTGATTCTTAAAGGTTACAAGCGGTTAGATATTTGTTTTTGGGGTTTTAAATTAGTTAATTTGTTTTGAACTTAAATCTTGGAGATTCTAAAAAGAATGGAATAGAAATATCTACAGTTCTTAAATTAATAACTTAGGATATTTAACAGAATGTTCTAAAAATTTTATAATCTTGTATATTTTATCTTTACATTGTTTTTTATACTTTGAGGATATTTTAAAAAATTATCTTAATCTACATTAAAAACATTTAATATTAACAAAAACTTCCAGCTTAAACCCTATCCTGAACTGGATATATGTAATATAACAACATTTCCAAACCTAAAATCCAGTGAGAACAAAATCATTTATTGAAGAAGAAATGCTTTCATCCTTTATAAAGACCATCTTCAGGTTCTACTGGTAGAATGCAACTTGAACAAAAACAGAATTTAAATAACATTTGTTATGTATGAATACTTATATATATATATATATATATATATATATAAACATTCATACATAACAAATGTTATTTAAATTCTGTTTTTGTTCAAGTTGCATTCTACCAGTAGAACCTGAAGATGGTCTTTATAAAGGATGAAAGCATTTCTTCTTCAATAAATGATTTTGTTCTCACTGGATTTTAGGTTTGGAAATGTTGTTATATTACATATATCCAGTTCAGGATAGGGTTTAAGCTGGAAGTTTTTGTTAATATTAAATGTTTTTAATGTAGATTAAGATAATTTTTTAAAATATCCTCAAAGTATAAAAAACAATGTAAAGATAAAATATACAAGATTATAAAATTTTTAGAACATTCTGTTAAATATCCTAAGTTATTAATTTAAGAACTGTAGATATTTCTATTCCATTCTTTTTAGAATCTCCAAGATTTAAGTTCAAAACAAATTAACTAATTTAAAACCCCAAAAACAAATATCTAACCGCTTGTAACCTTTAAGAATCACAGTTAATATAAAATAAAAATATCACAAGTAAAAGAAAAAATCAACAAACAAAGCATTTTAAATATTCAAACTATTTTCTATTATAGAATGCAAAATGCTTTTATACATAATGTCTTACCATGATTTTTAATTAAAAATCATATCAAAAATTGTAAATTGTATTCTTAAACTTTAGTTTAAAAAGAAGAGATCATAATTACATAATAGAACATGGAAATTTTCTGAAAGCATCATGTATGTGCAATAGAAAAAGTTTAGATACTTATAAATATTTGTTTAAGTCTCATTTATTTATTTATTAAAATATTAAAAATTAAAACAAATATTTTAATTTTTGTTTTATATTAACTGTAATTTTTTAAAGCTTTTAAAAAATTAGAGTTAATATAAAACAAAATTTTTAAAAACACATCATTTGGAATTTTAAACTAATTTTATCTTGACTTAATATAATAAGAAATTAAAAACAAAAATAAAGGTGTTCTGAAAATTGTTTCTATGACAGTCCTTGAATATGTAAATGTTAATTCCCTAAAAATTCCTATAATTTGGAATTCTATAAATAGTTATATTTACAAATAATAACTGCTATCATCCTTGTTGGTAAATTCACTATTCAAATCTATATATATAATTGAGATGGGTTGATAATAAAAATAATAATAAGTGCAGAGCCCAAACGGTTAGGAGTTGAAAATTGAAATTTGGTACACAGTTAGGGTACGTCATGAGAATGCACACTAAGAAGGGGTTTTTTGAAATTCCCTCCCGCGGGGAGAGGGAGAGGATAAAGGCTTACCCTGAAGAACTCAGCTTCTATTATACTATTTTAGATGTGGTTTTTTGTGTTTTTGACTGTGTTTAGTAGGCTACCACATGTAGTAGGGTACCATGGGGGATGAAAGAAGTGTATTCCTTAACAATGGAAGTGTTAAAAATGGAAGTGTTAAGAGAAAGCAGCTTGCGAGATTTACAAGTGCGTGCAGATGAGGTTTTTTGCATTTTTGTGGGAAATTAAACATATTTTTAGACCCATGTAAAAATTCTCTACTTAGTCAGTCTGGAAACGGAGGACCTAATTCTTGCATTCTGTGAAAATGGGTAAGATTGGCTATAATGTAATTATCTTAATCTTCGCTATCGTTACTTTTTGCCTGAGCAATGCCGGGCTTATCTGCTAGTTGTATATAAATTAACGCTCATTAAAAAAAATCAGAAAATCTGATGCTCTTAAATTTAACCTATAAATTTGAGTAAAAAAAATTTAATTTAATTTTCAGTTGTCGAGTCGACACATTTTTCTGACTTCGACTCCTCTGGCCAGAAATTCCTCCCGACTCCGACTCCGTCCCCAAACACCTGGTCATTACGTGGTATAGCTTTAATCCACTTACTAATTATGTCTTTACTTTTGGGGAAAGAGAAAACTGTTGTGTACTCTGTAAATGAGTAATTGCTTTTACAGCCTGTCACACAGCATCTTTGGGGCATCTATTAAGTAAATACATATTTAAATTCGTTTTAGTTATAATGTAAAAGAATTAGTAATATATTCTTATTATACAATTTCATGGTGAACTCCGGATATATTTTTCTTCCAATTACAACCCTCTGGTGGTTGTGTTAATGTATTAATAGATAGACTCAAAAATTAAATTTTTTGTAAATAGTCTGAACTTCTAAATATTCTTATTATAGTCTATATAATAATTAGTTATGTACTTAAAATACCCCTAATTTTCTTACTTTTATATAATTAATAATCAAAAAAAATCTCTTACCTTTGATAAATTATATGAATATAAATATCTAAATAGTATCCAATTGATAAACTTATAAAATAAACCAGAAAGACAAGCTTCAATGTATCCACCACCACGTTGTCCAGTAAACTGTAAATGACCAGTAGTCTGACATCGCGATTATTGAACGGGAGTTACAAGCAGACCTTGAATAAAGGATGGCCTCACTGAAGGTCAACTCCTCCCCTTCCCACAGTTCAAGAAGTCAATATTTCACGTGGGACTCTCTAATTTACATTTGCCATGTTTGTCTGTTTTGACGATTCCATTAGGGTAATCGACTCAATTGTATTATTTACAATTATTCATAGCAATTCGAGTTTAAAAATTATATATATTGGTTGCANCTATATATATATATATATATATATGTTGTACCTGAGGACTGTGTAAATCTGTTGTTAACATAATGATAGAATAAGCAAGAACATAGGCTGTATCTGCACTAGCAAATAATCCATTACTGTAAAATAATTAAGAATATAATTACTTTCAAAGCAATTGAAAATTACTCAATTTTTATAGTTAAATCTTATAATAATAATGTAGAAAATTTTAACATAAAAATCTAGCTTTTTTATTAAAATATTTGTATCTTGAATAAGTTCTCGCTGTTTTCCAACAGATGATGTTACCAGAACTGCGTGCTTGTAGTTTAAGATGGTGGCTCATCTGTAAGGAAGTACCATAAGCAAGCTTGAAATTCAGTATAGGTCATTTCGCCGAAGTGTAAACAACTTTTTTTCAGTGTTAAACATGTTGAGTTTTGTGCCAAAAAAAAAGAGTTTTTGAAGGAAATTTTATTGCACTATTTTATTAAAAAATCTGCAGCTAAAGCACATAGAATTCTTGTTGAGACTTACAGCGACCATGCTCTGTCAGAAACAACATGCAGAGATTGGTTTAGACACTTCAAAAATAATTTTGATGTTGAAGATAAAAAATGCTCTGGCACACCGAAAAGGTTTGAAGACAAGAATTGGAGGCATTACTTTATGAAGACTCATGTCAGATGCTAGCTGAACTTGAAGAATCATTAGGATTGATCACACAACAGTTTCAAAACATTTGAAAGTATTAGGAATGATTCAAAAGCAAGGACATTGGGTGCCGAGAAGCTGAGAGACATCAAACAGCATCTTTTCATGTGTGAACAGCTGCTTCAATGGCAGAAAAGGAAAGGATTTTTTGCATTGTATCATAACTGGTGATGAAAAGTGGATACACTACAATAACCCTAAGCATAGAAGATCAAGGGTAAGCCCGGCCATGCATCAACATCGTTGGCAAAGCTGAATATCCATGGTTCGAAGATCCTGCTCTGCATTTGGTGGGATCAGCTGGGTGTAGTTTATTATGAGCTGCTCAAACCGAATGCAACCATCATGAGAGATTGCTATCGACTACAATTGATACATTTGAGCTGAGCATTGAAGGAAAAATGGCCGCTATATGAGCAGAGAGATGACAAAGTGATTTTGCAAAACGACAATGCTCAGTCACATGTTGCACAACCGGTAAAAACCTACTTGGAAACCCTTAAATGGGAAGTCCTACCCCACCCACTGTATTCACCAGACATTGCCCCTTCCAATTATCACTTGTTCCGATCGATGGCACATGGCCTGGCTGAGCAACACTCCCATTCTTATGAAGATGCCAAAAAATGGGTTGATTCTTGGATATCCTCAAAAGACGTGTCATTTTTCCAACATGGAATTCAAATGCTGCCAGAACAATGGAAGAAAGTAGTGGCTAGCAATGGACAATACTTTCAGTGACATGTTTTTTATGACTTTTTTAAATAAAGCATTAATTTTCATGAAAAAACAGCAAGAACTTATTTAAGGTCCCAATACATTTGTGTTCAAATTAAAGGTTAATCTATAAAAGCATATGTAATTCATAGTGTATCTAAAAAACTGCAATGAAATATATAAGTATGAAAAAGTCTATAGAATTTTTCACATTCATATTTCATTGCATTTCATATAAAAAGAAATTCCATTTAAAAAAAGTATGTCATATGCTATTCTATTATTTATCTCATATGCTCTTCTAAGTAATGACTATCAATAATTATCAATAATGGAGAATGAATAAGTCAATCCCAGACTGAAGTATTCAAAGCATTAAATGTTATACAAGATGTTCTTTCAAGGGTCTGGAGTCAATTCCAACAAATAGGAAAGATTTTTCACCATCCCAGGTCACAAATACTCAAACAACTAGATGGTTCTAATCATAACACAACTTAAGGGGATGACCATAGTTACATCATAAAAATTTCAAGCCACACTAGTAACAGGAGACTTCATGGCCAAGGTCTTTATGTGAGAAGACCCCCTCATTTTTATCGCTTTATCCTACATGCCAGATGAGGTCATTTTATAAGGAGATAAGGAGATATAAACATTGCCTTTAAAATCCAGTTCAGTGGAGCCATATTCTCTTCACAGATGAGTCAGATTTCAGTTTGGAATATGTTGAAACAGCAAATTGAAACATGCTATTCTCATCAGAACCTCCAAGATTTCAGAATAACTTGTTTGAAAGAATGAACAATGTTGCTAAAAGAGTTCATAATGATTCTTCATACTGTTTAGATTTATGAATTGTATGGTCAACATGGATGATCATATACTGCATTAAAATTTTTATGTCCTCTTACATCAAAGGCCTCAAACATTGCTATTCCTTCTTCAAATTGAATGGTTTCATTTATATAACATTATTGTGATATTATTCCATTTGAATTTTGTTAACTCTTAACCAGTGTTGTGGAGTTGGAGTAAGTGTCTGGAGTCTGACATTTTTGGGTGGGACTAGAGTAAGTAAAATTCTTTTGACTCTGGTGACTCAGACCTCAAAGTTTACTATTGGTAAAGTGTGAAGTAAGAAAAATACTTTTTAATTAATTAGTATCTAAAGAAATTTCTTAGAAAATGAACACTTTGATAAATTTAGATACTAAAATGATATTGATCCTTAAAGGTTGTTTTATAGCAAAATGTTATGCATATGTCACACAACATGCTCTATACTTTCAGAAAACAGATCTTATTAATTTAAGGCCCACCACTGGCCAAGTGGAAAAACCACTGAACACTGTAGTTAATCATGGGATTGTGCCCAGAAAGTAAATGCTTATGGTATTGCATCTAAGAAAAAATTTTACTTTCATTTAGTATGCCATAACTTTTTCTTGATGCAATATTTTTTTACATCTCAAATGTTTTACTTTGCATATTAATATTTTTAACTAATGTGAGTAATTAAATTTTTCACTGCTCTTTTATTGGTTTTGAGTTATTTATGACTATTATAGCTTCAACAACATAATTTAGTCTTAAAATACTCAATAAAAACCATGAAAAAATAAAACTGAGATCAGAATCTAACTGCAACAAACTAAAAGAGAAAGAGAATACTGCAAAATGTAATTAATAGAATTATTTCAGCTTATTATTCACTAGTTCTTGGAGCCAATTCATCCCTTGGTTCAAGATAATTGATTTTTCTCCAAATTTCATATTTTAAAATTCTACTGTATACTTCAGTTTAATCAACCATTGGTAGAAATTAACTATTCCTGTTGTAGCTGGAATGAGTGAAACTATTTTATGGATCAATTTATTATGTCATTCATCAGATTGTTATTTTTGCATTTTATTGTATTTAAGTTTTTCTCTTGAAAATAATTAAATTTAAATCAATTTTTCATAATTAACTAATTAAAGTGGAATTCTTTTAACTATTAATAACTAGTGTGTTTCTTTTATGTACTCGAAAGTTTTTGCAAAGTAAATTTGTTACATCCATTTTTTCATTTTCACCATCAATTTTAGGACAAATTTTTATAGAGAAATTTTACATAAAAATATTCGGATACTCAGTGGTATCTTTCTTATAAAAGGAACCATAGTGTGACATTTTCAAAAAGGGTAAGTTCGGAATCAAAGTCACACATTACAAATTTAACGAAATTGGAGTCAAGACTTTTTGTTTACTGACTCCACCACACTGGTCTTAACAATAAACTTCTATATGAGATTTTATGTAAGAAGAACAATGATTTATATTACTTTATTCCAATGTATTAGTCTGTTTTGTCACATTTCCTTATATACACTGCAAGTTATGTATGCTTTTGCATTTATTTTATTATAATAGTATATACTTTGTTTACCAATTTTAGAATTGTGTAGTTTCTCAATTTTCAACTGAATCACAGTATTTAAATACTTAAGAAAAAAACAAAATAATAAATTGTTAAGCATAACTATCAAAACTAATGCCTGCTAATTTTTACATTAAAATAATTTCTTTGCCTTTTCCATAAAAACTTCTTTAACCTAATTCAAAAATTGAAACTTCAATTTAACTCATCAATATTACAATTTATCATAATGAATCACATATTATAAAAAAATATAATTTGTATAACAACAGTGTTTTAAATTAATATTTCAAAAACTTTATAAAAACAGATTTGCAAACCGAGAGCCCAGACTTAATTTTATTGAAATTTATTAAATTTCAAAAACAACGTTGTGACTGTTCTTTGATTCTTAAACACTATGTGGTTAACTATGAATGAATACAGATGTAAGCAAAAACTCCTGTTCTGACGGTACATCCATCTTTTAATTTTGTCACCTAAAAGGAAAACAACGAAAATAGACAATAAATGTGTAAGCTGTATAAATATGTATTCAGCCATGATACCCAGTTTATAAATAATCCTGAGGTATGTTCTAAAATATCTTTACCATTTGTATATTTTTTAACCTTTTACGAACTATGTATTTTTTGATATAATTTTAGTTGGCTGAAGAGGGGCAAGTTACACCCAAAACATGTATTTTAAACATGTATCAACTAAACTAAATAAAGATGATAAAATGCCAAGTGTTTGAATTTATTACACTACATAGTGTTTAAGAATCAAAAAATTTCAAAAACTTGATAATTACTTTAGACCCTTTCACATACCTGACAATTCAGTTTGTCTCAGTTTTTATATTTATTAAAAATCTTTAAGATTGAATTATCAGGACGTGAAAGGCAAGATTGGTCAAAAGACAAAGTCGAAAAGAAAAAATCCTTGCTATGAAGTATAAATGACAAAAAATATTTTCTTGTTACTGTGAGATCTGAATAGCCCCTGGGTCTAAAATTAATAATTATTTAATAATGTTAAATATTGTCATAAAATATTATTTTATTTTAGTGAGAAATTAACGATTTCCAACGTGGGAAAGATAGATAACAGATGCTACTTCCTTCGAGGGAAGTTAGAACATCCTCTGTTTTTCCCTTAGCCACTAAAAATCTTGCTTTGATGGGAAATGTTTACCCCTCGCATATTCCCCTTTCTGTCCGTTCCCACGGAAGAATCTTTGTATGATGATTGGTTGCCGATCATCAGATATAGGGGATGTTCAACCGAATTCGAGGAGTTCATCGACAGACCTGGAAGAGTCAGGACTCCATACATATTTCTCCTGATGGCCAACGCCCTTAGTCGAGACACATAGAATAAATCCAGAGTTAGCACTTAGAAGATATACTTTGATTTTGTGCACATATCGATCTCCCATGGAAAGAAGTAAATGAACTTTATCTCTAAAGTGTCCCTTGCCTACATGAAGAAGACGAACCACAACTAAACCAGGTTGTATGTTTAATAGTAATTCTGTAATCTCTCTCTCGATCTCGTATAGAATAATGTACAAGTCTGTAGCCCTCTCAATGTATACAGTATTAGCCGCAGTTATATCTCTCTGTCAATTGTAATTCATTAGTTTTTACATATTTATGTTTTATTAAATTCTTTGTTTGTTTATACGAATTGTCTCTCGTTCAACCCTTGAATCAAATCTATAAACCAATCACACGCGTGTTTGTCTGCGGATCGATAAATTGACAAACTGGTGTCGAGATCCTGACGTAAGGAAGAAGATGAATTTACCACCACCGACTTCCGCCCTATTTCCACTTAACTATAAAACCCTCCGCCACTCGTTTCCCTACGTTCGGGAAAGACCGTTCTTTGGACGACAGAGACTGGTCTCGCTGACTAGTTGCCCGTAAGCAGCGTAGACGAAGATCTACGTCCCCGGCTACTCTCACATTACTAAGATTTTACTACTTGTTAGTATTTCAATAAATTAAAAATTGATGTCAGTAAATTTGCAAGTGTGTAAATGTTAATAGTAGAATGCAATATTTATATAATACATCATAAAATATTAATAAAAATTAAAATTTGTATAGAAAAGTAGATAAAAACAAAAAGATTGAAGAAAAAAGTTCTGCAGTATATAAATCAAAGCTAATTATATTTTATAAACATACTGAATCAAAATCATAAAAAAGCAAATATATAAATCAAGGAAAAGACAAATACAAAATTCATTATATTTGCATAGAAAGTATTTTTCTTACTTTGGATTTGTCTCACAATATCGTGCTGCAAATTTTTCCATTAAACGATCTATTTTTTGAGCTTCTCCTGGCAATCTAAAACCTTCTAGGAATGTTCTTAATGCTGACACAAAATCTTTTCCAGCAAAATTTACTTGATCAACATAAGCATACATAACTTCTTTGTTCAACCTAAAAAAAAATTATAATGAATTATACATTGACTGATTTAATAAACAATTGCATCTCAAAAACTTTTATTAAAATTACAACTTACTTTTCATTTTCTCCAAGGAAATCACCTATTTGTGTCTAAAATATAAAAAAAGAAGTATATATATATATATATATATATATATATATATCACATTTTAAGTTTATTACATAGTAAATAGTGATATATAGTAAGTTCAAAATTCCAATTCAATGATGTGTACATAATAATTCACAATATTACTCATAATAATTATATAAAATTCTACAATTTATTTTTACAAGGAAACAGTTTTTGTATTTACAGCAAATATATTTTTATAACTTTACAAATTATCAACACTTTTAAACTATTGCACACTTGAGAATCTCCATTTATCTTTATGTAACAGCATAAAATAATATTGTTACACTTCACTGCATGTGATAATTCCTTTACAAGCAAACAGAAGCTAGCAATTATGAGAACAATGAGGTAAAAAAGCCAAATATTCCATTGTGTTTCAAGCCATTGAAACACAATGGAATTTTTGCCATATATTTTTAACCATTGAGGAATAACCAATTTACTCCTCAGTGCATGGGCTTCAATGGTGATATGGAACTAGTTAGATTTGTTCCAAAAAAACATATACAACAGTTATTGTTTTGACTACAATGTACCAAATAGCCAAACATCTGAAATCAATAACAAATAAAAAAAAAGCCAGAAATTACAACAAAACAAACAAAGAATGTATGTGTTAGACTATACACTGCAAAAAATAAACTCAGTCTGTGATACTGTGAAACAATGTGATGGATGTTGCAACATTCAGTGCTTATATTATTTTCAAAAAATATCTATCCAGAATACTTTAAAGAAGCTAGTCACAAGACGTCTTTGTAAAGCTAAGAACTCATGTTGCTATATATGCAAAGATCAAGAATGCCAGGCTTGACAAAACAAATTTTATATCAGCCAAAAAGCAATTTTAAGAAAAACTTTCAAACTGAAATGTGCTGTTGAAGATAGTGATGAAGAGAAAAAATGTACTAATGCTCAACATCAAAAAAGGAAAACTGCTCAACTGTATATTCAAAATACCAAATGATCTGCCAGATTATAATGGACTATATGCCTACTATTTAATAATTAAATAATAGACATATTATAGCCCATTATAATTACTTAATAGTTAATTATTAAATATTAAATAATTTTGCATAGAATAGGAATTAGTCATAATATTTGGCATTTGGCCTTAACCAAAAATCAGGATAATGGATGTTTATATTTGCTCAAAGTACAATAGTTTTATTTATGCAAATCATTACACAGTTGAATGACAGAAATTATAACAAACAGATTTCAACAATATTAAAAACCTTGTTTTTTATTGTTTATTTAATTATCATTAAACCTATTTTATCTAAAATTAGAATTTGTTGAAGCTTTACTATATACCGTGTTTCCCCGAAAATAAGACAGTGTCTTATATTAATTTTTGCTCTGAAAGATGCGCTAGGTCTTATTTTCAGGGAATGTCTTATTTTTTCCACGAAGAAGAATTCACATTTATTATCAAACAAAAAATTCCCAAGTCAAACTTAGACAAGAGTGACGTATATCCGGTCGTGTCGAACTGAACTTACAAAGTTCCCGTGCTGGAGTGGACTTCCCACTCTATTCTATTCTTCTCCCCCTTGTTCATATGGAGATCACAGCCTTAGTGTGCTTTTTCTCCGAAGAGCTTCCCACTCTCGCTTCAACTTAACTTTTTTATAGCATCGACATCGGGCTCAATAACCAATTAGTGCTTACTGAACCGTAGCACTATGCAAATGTCATGTGGCATGATTTCCCGGCCGACCAATTAGCCATCACCAGCCACAACGTTATGCAAATCTGTGATTCCCAAGCCATAGTTTTATGCAAATCATGCCGTGTGGCATGATTGTCTGCTGACCAATCAGTGGCTGTATTTTCAATCATCTGTCAATGACCGTTACGATTAAAAAAAAACTTTGCTAGGTCTTACTTTCAGGGGAGGCCTTATATTTAGCAATTCAGCAAAACCTATGGTAGGTCTTATTTTCTGAGAATGTCTTATTTTTGGGGAAACACGTAGGTCAAAATGACTCAGCAAATGCAATAGTCAGAATTACTCTTATTACACCCAAGACTTAATTAAACTATAAAGCTATGGTCTGAAAAAATTTTTCTTCTTTCAACCTAATATTATTTTTTTAGATTTTTCTATATTAATTTAAAATAACTAAAATTATCTACATGATAATCTGACAGTGATTGATATAACTATATATAGTGCATATAGTGCCAAATTAACAAATAATTTCATGATAAAGTAACTTATTATAATTCATTATTAAAGTTATGATTATTTATTAAATTTGATATTATTACAGTAGAGCGTTGATTATCGGAATCAATTGGGGACTGGGGTTGTTCGGAAGACCGATGTTTCGGATAACCGATTATGTACAAAAAAATATATTAATTTATCCCATTTTGACATTTTTCTTCGTTGCATGTCGCTCTGTGTTCGATTTTCGTCGATATTAAGCCTANCGATGTTTCGGATAACCGATTATGTACGAAAAAATATTTTAATTTATCCCATTTTGACATTTTTCTTCGTTGCATGTCGCTTTGTGTTCGATTTTCGTCGATATTAAGCCTAACAAAGACTATTGTATTGTTAAAAATTATTTTTTTATTTTGTACAAACAAAATAAATTTATTGAAAAATATAAAAACAATAAAAAATTATACTTCAGAAGTTAATTTAGTATCAAAAACATAAAATATTTGAGTAGCCCAAGACATAGCCAAAGATTGCAGCGCCACAGCACTGGCAAAAATTTAAATTTGCCGACTGGAATTCTTTCGGATGATTGACTTTCGGATAATCGACGCTCTACTGTATTATTATTATTATTATTATGGGTTAATATTCTATTAAATTTCTTTTGTTTCATATATGAACACATTCAATACATCTATGTAACATGAGAAAAATCTTTTCTATGATGTTTACAGTCTCGTTTTTCATTGGAGACCATATTATATGAATAAAACTACTAAATTATAAGAATTTTTCATAAAATATTTATTGCCAAATCTTAACTATAGAAACAGCTTTTGTCATGTAGACAAAATAAAAATTTATTGATTAAATTTTTTGGAGATCCAACTTAAAAATCTTTTAAGGTGCACAATGTCAGAAAGAAATAACTACACGTGTTTATAGCTCTAAACATGTGTTTCACATTCAGTTTTACATACATTGTGTTGTTAGTAATGGGTTCAATCTGTTGTTGTATTCCTATGTGAATCTCTGTTTTATTTGTGCATATTCTATGAGCTTGACTGTTGGAATCTTAAATATTTGTAAACATTGTTCTCATCCATGAATTCAATGAGGTCTTCTTATTGCATTTTTGGAATATGCTAATTCTGATAGTATTAAACAACTGATAATAATATCTATGATTACAATGAGCAGATTCTACTGTATATGAAAAGTGAATAAAAAATTTATTCAAATGAAATAGTTTCTAAATAATATGTATATTATATTGTTCAGTTTTCAAATTATGCATCAAATTCAAATATGTTTTTTCCAAAAGAATATGATTCAATTATATTATATTATAATAAATATATATGTTATATTTAAGCAAATACAATACAATATTTATCAAAATATTAATTTTTAAATTCAAGTCAAAGTCTAAATAAATAATTTTTTCAGAAAATTTACAACAAATTAAAATTTTAAGGAAAAGAATATAAAAATAATTTATACTTTATCTAATCGATCATCAGAATGAAAAAGTTCAGCTATATCCCAAGGAGTATTCCCCAATAAACCATGTTCCTGCAGAAATGCAATTCCTCTCCGAGGTTTTCGGTGAAATCTATATTTATAATGCAACTGTAGTAAATAAATAATATTTAACAACAAAAACAATTTTAAATAATATTTACAATTCTATTCCTTGTTCCATAATTTCTTTTTGCTGTTTTAAAACTTTAAACTGTTCAGGATTATCAGGTGCAGCATTATTTGTTACATTATAACCAGCAGAACTATTATTGGAGCTAAGCGAATTTGTACTTCCATAACTTGTAATTGTTCCTTTTCCAGAATCAATATCTTCTATTTGATCTTTGTAACGTTCATGGCCTAAACAGTATTAAAAACTTACAATTAAATTATAAAATTTAAATTATTTGGCATGTAAATTAAACTTCAGTATTCAAAATATAATAATTTCTTAAATAAATTTCTTTGTTTCAGGAGAAAATATGCTATTCTATTATATGAATATCTAACAAAATATCACTTTTTTAAAAAAGTAATATTTTGCGATATAGTTTATAAAAGTGAATAAAAATTCTGATATAATTTTTATGATTTTATAAATTTATTTAATCATATCTGTAAATAACAATAATTACCTACCTAAATTTGCTTGTTGATTTGGATTAACATATAAATCTTTACTCCATTCTACCATACACTTTAAAACTGACACAAGGCACTCTAATCCTTTTATTCTCATGGATTTTTCCTGATTAATTGTGGCACCTAATTCCAATGCTTGTCTTCCCTGGAAAAAACAAAATTAAATGACATTACAAAATAAAAATAGCTTTTCACTTCTCACAGTAACTAGAATAATTATATAACATCTATTATCATGTTAAAAGTAATTATTTCAAGATCAAATGCTATTTCTGCTATTTCACATTTTTATAAACTGCAATATTTTTAATAAAATACAAAGGTTGATTCCACGGCAGAGTCAACCTTTTATTGTAGGCTAATCGTCCACCATACAATGTAAAAAAGTAAAAATAGTTCTCTAGTGGTGGCAAGTGATAAAATTAATAAATACATTAAAAAAATTTTTTTGTTAAAGTTTGTTAAACTAAATTCATCCCGGCAATTTTTAAAAAATGTATTTATTAATTTTATCATTGTGCCACCTCTAGAGGATTATTTTAACTTTTTTGCATTGTATGGAAGATGAGTAGCCTAAAATAAAAGGTTGACTCTGCTGTGGAATTGTTATTACCTCAACAGCATGTGAAGGGACTGAAAGAAATTGACTCATCCTGTATGTATAGTCTGAAGAAACGTAATTTTTTTGTTAAAGATTTTTTTATATATTCTTTGATGGCTTAGATATACTGAGAGAAGCTGAACAGCATTCAACTAGTTTGTTGTACACAATAGCAACATTAACAATACCTTGAGTCAACCATTTTCATAAAAAGATGGCACACTTCCACATCAGACACTTCATACAACAGTTTCTGTGACAACATATTATTGATAACAAAGTGATTAGGACTGTGTTTTCTATCACTTGGCCATCTTCATTCTCTGGTTCTTAATTTGTGATTTTTAATTAGAGATACTTAAAAAAAATGTGGCTTATCAAGGACATGTTGCAAATATTTGGCAAAATATTACATATGAGAAGCATCACAGGCAATCAATCATGGTTGGCATTAAACACACTGTTTAATGCCTTCAGATTTTACATCTTCAGAATGGGATTGAGCATTATCCCTGCATTGCTAGTATAGCATGAGTTTCTTGTACAGATAAAATGTTCATTGTTTGAGTACCAAAAGTATCAAAGTGATGAAGTTTTGGTACTAATTTTTACAGAAATGGTTTCTACATGTCCTGAAATATCACCATATAAGATTTAGTTCAATTTAAACTGCTAAATGTCTCTTTAAACAATGTTGATTACAGGTGTTTATAATTAAAACAACTTGATATTGCAATGTTTTCAACATAGAATTTTGTTGTTTAAAAATAATAATAGTCTGTACTTTCAAAGTTTTAATAAATAAATACCAAAAACTATTATTCAAAATAATATATTATTATATATACTTTATTATTACAGTTAAAAATTCAAAAATGAAATACATTACCTGAGCAATCTTTGACAAATCATTAACAAGCCTTTCAAAAATATTTGCAGCAGAAAGATCACAGTCATAATTAACATATATATCTACAACACTCTGTGCATCTAAAAAATAAAAATTATACATATATTTATTAAAATAAAAACAAAATTCAGTATTCTTATATTTAATAAAATTTTATATCTAATCAATAAAAATTAAAATGTTTTAAATTTAAGTAATGATGTATGGTGATTATTATATCCTTGTATAACTTTAATAACTTTTAATGTACACACAGAAATATATTGTATTGGTACATACATTACAATGTTATTTCTTAATGTTTTACTGAAATACAGTTTAAAATTTTAAACTTCAACATGACAGTCATCTTTTACAACATACGCAAACCATTTTTCTAATTCATTGAAAATAGACTTGCAAAAGTTCATAATAACTGTAATAAAGTTCATTTTCATCACAGAAAAGATGCACTACACAAGAACTCAGTTAACAACTGAATGAAAGAATTTATAAAAACTGAGTAATAAATCATAATTCAGGAGACCACTAAATGAAGCTGTATAATTCAAGAAATATTCAAAGAGTCCATAACAATTGTCTGATCATTTCAAAACTACATTCTTTATATAAACTTATCAAGATTGCAGAAGCAATTTGTGAAATCATTGAACACAACTGAAATATTGTCTATGTATGCTACCAAAAGCTATAATAACAGCTACCAAAAGTGATATTTAGTGAAATATTTTCACCAAGTTAGAAACACAGTTTGCACATAGAGTAAAAAAAAAACAACAATTATGTTGCACATTAAAAGTTTGATCCATATTACAGTAAAATTTTATGAATTATGCTATTATATATCATTTACAGTGTAATTCGAACATGTATACATTCAAATTTATTATTTATTAAAGTTAAAGTTATTAAATTTATTAAAGTTGCACAAGGACTTCATAATCACTCTGTATTATAATACTAACAATAACATTAAAACTAGTCAAAAATCAAACAAAGAGAATCAAGTACTAAACAGAATTACTCAAAGAGTTAAAAAAAATAATAATAATAACTACTGTATTAGACAAGAGATTTAAAATTATGCTAGAACTGCAAGTCTTATTTTGTTAATTTTCTCATATAGCCAATCTCTTTTTTGAGATTGGCTATATACGAATAAACATTGATATATGCCTTCATTGTGTAAAATTCAGAGATTTAATAAGGTTTAAGACTTGGAAAAATATTATTAATATATCGCACTTCTCAAAAACTGATTATTACTCAATATTTTACTTTATGTTATTTTGTACTAAAAATTAACTTGTTAAATATTATATTATATTATATTACTATTGATTTTTTTTGTAACAAATTACCCCTTGTAAAGAACTAAGGTTCATATAATAAACAACTGATTGATTACTTTTTGAACCAAACCAAGAATTCCACAAGAATCAACAAATCAAAGAGGCTGTCCTAAAAAAATGATGTAACAACCTTTTATTCCAATAGACTCAGAAATTTCTATAAACAGTAGAGTAAGTATGTAAATGTTTAAGAAAAATGTATTGAAAAGAAATAAAAATATAAATTTTTTCTTCCAAACTTAAAAGTACTTCACAATATACTTTTTGATAAAAGTATTACATATTAAAATTATANAAACACTGGGTCTGTAAGACCCATGCGACTCAAGTAAGGGCCCCATTCCTAGCGACTTACGGAGGGTTAAGGCTCTGCATCGGACATGCGCATAACTGCAATGTTCGATTTTTCGAACTCTTGGAATCGAACTTGATGATGACTGTTGAAGACGGTAGAAAACGTTCGTTTTTGATGTGAATTTATGCAGTTTTTTGGTAATTTCGTAGTTATTTTGGAAATTTATCAATAACACTAAAAACTGTGATATTTTATAAATAATCATATTAAACTCCTCTATATTTTAGCATTAATTAGAATGCAATATCAAGTCTTGCAACAGACATTAAATCAACATTTTATAATAATTCATTTAATTTAATAATTAATTATTAAATTTTTTCTATAAATAAAAATATTGATTTTGTTCATAAAAACATAACTTTTCAATAATGCATCCAAAAATCATTAGGAATATTTACATTATTTTACAATGAATAATTTCTCTATCATTATTATTAAGTCAATAAAAGTTTCAAGTTTCAATTATTTTATCACAAGACATTATATATATATATAACTTACTTCAATTTGCATCTTTAAATGTGTTTTAAAATTCTGCAGTAATGCTAAAAAGATGGCAAGAGAAAGTTCAAATACTTCAGGAACCGATGAAACACCATTCTTTGACAAGGCAACACACAAATATTGTTTAATAGCATTGATAAACATATCATTTGATCTAAACACAGGTCCTGCATTTTGTAATATAGAAAGCAATAGCTGAAGTGATAGAATTTTTGACCGAAGTTCATGAGACCTAAAAGATATAAAATTCTTTAATTAAAAAAATAATATTTACTAATATACAAAAAATATTTTTTAAGCAATACAGTATGATTTTTTAATTACACATTATAATCAAATAAAGTTTACTATCAAAATATAAATTCTTTAGAACTTAAAAATTAATTACTTAAGCATAATCATTTTAATGGATTTAGTATCTTTTATTCTTAAGTTGATTTAATACAGTTTACAAATTAAGCATTTTGTATTTTTAGTTTTGAATTAACTTCACTTAAAACTCACATATAATCACTAATTAGATGATTTTAAAAATTAATGCTTTTTTCCAAAAATATTAAATTATATAATTTTATATGTAACAGATATACAATAAGATAAAATACAAAAATGATTAGATATTAAATAAATTCATAGTTGTAATTGACTATAAAATATAATCTTAATTAATATTTTGATGCCCAATTTTTGAAGTAATTTTGGCTAGAGTATTGTGATCTCGATACCAACTGCAGATTAATTCAGGGACAAACTTCAAAAATTCATGCTGAATATTCCATCGTACTTGAATCTTATATACAGTAGAGCGTCGATTTTCCAAAAGTCAATCATCCGAAAGAATTCCAGTCGGCAAATTTAAACTTTTGCCAGTGCTGTGGTGCTTCAATCTTTGGCTATGTCTTGGGCTACTCAAATATTTTACATTTTTGATACTAAATTAACATCTGAAGTATAATTTTTTATTATTTTTATATTTTTCAATATATTTATTTTGTTTGTACAAAATAAAAAAATAATTTTTAACAATACAATAGTCTTTGTTAGGCTTAACATCGACGAAAATTCAACGCAAAGCGACATGCAACGGAGAAAAATGTTGACATAGGTTATGTTAAACTATTTTTTCGTACGTAATCGGTTATCCGAAATATCTGTTATACGAACAACTCCAGTCCCCAATTGATTCGGAAAATCGACGCTCTACTGTATTCTTTTTATTTTAATCTAATAAATATCTACTTGAATCTGGTAAATTTTATAATTTTTCTGTTTTCTTGTTAATATAGAGAGAACGTTTTTAAATATTAAATCATCAATTCAGTAGTTAGCATAATAAAAACAAAGACTTGAATCAGAATTTTGTTTTCATTAAATTATAGTAGAAATTTAATTAAATAAGTACATCTGAAATATCTTGCAAGGTTTTTATCCTAGTTTGCCTTTGAAAAAATTTAGATAACTTCAGCTATAGGCAATACTTACTTTGGATCAGGATGGCCTTCAGGAAGAGGTTTCATGCTTAATTTGCATAATGAACGAAAGACTAAGAATGCATCTTTTTGTAAGATATGAGAAAAACGCATCTGGACGGGTTCTGAAACAGTTTCTAGACTCTCTTGTGAAGGAACTCTAGGCAAGGAAGGAGTTAATGATTCTTCCATAGGAAGAGAAGGTACAGACTGTGCACCAGACTGATCACTCAGTGAACTAGTTTCAGGTATATCTAAAGTCAATAAATATATTATTATTAAATAAAAATATAAAGAATTAAATCTGTAAATCAAATTCTAATATTTTATCAAAATTATATTGGCTTAATAATAAAATAATTATAATTACACCCATTGCCATAAAAATTAGCACATCAAGAATTTGTTGTCATATCGCAGCAAAACCTGACATGCAGATATGGAAATGATTAGAGTTATAGTGTGATGTCTCATTGCATAATGCCAGCAGAGGACATTAAAGTGTCCCCCCTTGCCTACAAAAAAAAGTGTGCAAAGGCATCCTGTCTGTAGTTTATCTGTTGCAGAAGGACGCTATATCACTAGAGATGCCTTAACATCACAACTGAAGACCGTATAAACAACTAACCAAGTTTGAAAGAGGAAGGATCATCAAGTTGAAAAGCCAGATGGTCATCGCACCAAATAGCCTGCCACCTAGGCTGTTCTGATAACACTGTGAAGATGTGTTGGAACCAATGGACAAGAGAGAGATCTCACATACATTTGGTATTGCAATAACCATTACATATGCTGCCATTGACAGCCACCCACCATCACCTCCATTTGGAGTGGTGTCACTCCCAACAGGATTGGACCACAATGGAATGGAACTGGGTCATTTACAGCAATGAATTCAGTTTGGGCACTGACAACAGCTGTGTTTGTAAATGGAGGCTCCATGGTAAACGTCTCAATCCTGCCTATGCTCAACCACATACAGCAAGGGTGTCACAGGACCGCCTCTGCCACACTTCTCTGGCCTGTCTGGTCCTGATTTGTCACCAATCAAACATGTCTGGGATCAAATGGGATGTAAAGTTGGACAGCCTAGGAGTTTGGCTGAACTAGAGGACCGCTTGCAGCACACCATATGGCACCAGTATGCCTCCATGCCCATCTATATCACATCATGTATTCACACTAGCCCACCTATATCACATCATGTATTCACACTAGCCCACATATATCACATTATCATGGCCCAATGGAATACTAGAACATCCCTTCATTTGTAGTTTCCCCTGCAATAAATGATCCTTTTGATTTCATTTTGTAATCACTTACTTATATATCCCTGTTACACTCACATGTACAATTTCATTTGATTCCAACAACTCCTTGGTGTGCTAGTTTTTATGGCAATGAATGTATTTGGACTATCCAATGATATGGTTAATAATTAGCTAACTTAACTAACTTTAGCAAGATATAAATAAACAACAGCCATGAGCAGGATTTAATGCTAAAATTATTGCTTATTGTACAAGTGATTCATTACTGAATTCAGAATCCTTCTAGGTATATATTAATTTTATATTGCTATATAATCATTATGTTATTTATTTCAAAAACAACCAAAGACTCCACATGCCTCAATCATCATAATGATAATTAATAATTTATTATTATTTATTAATTTAAAATTAATATATGATTGGAATGATTTCAATTAGTATTTGGATAGGATAATTAGGAATAATATAAAGAACCTAATTTCTTTGAATAGTGCCATGTTGACTATGAAATACTGATAAAAATTTAAAATAATTCATTTTTGTCTATGTTTTAACTTACTACTTTATACAAATCATTATAAATTACAAAATTATTGCTAGTTAAATATGGTTTAGAATGAACTATCCATTTCCCTAACATACTGTTTATATTAACTTGATGCATGATGTACAATATAATTATTAATGTTTTACTTTTATTATTGTTTATCATACAGGGTTCATACTCTTCACTCTGTTGATACTGTCTACTCATTCTCAACAAGCTGTTTATTATTCTTAAGTTAGTTTCCATTATCAAACTCTACTTATATAGAATCTCATACTGTTATATCCCAAACTATTTATATAAAGCATTGATGATTATTATTGATGCTAATAAATTATTCATTATCCTCTGACAATTTAATAATTTTATAAATTAAAGTATTAATCAGTATTTTAATTGTATTTAACATATTACATTATTAATAATGTAATTTTAAAAATAGTTTGGACGCATTCTTATTTTTATGTTTAATGTGGAAAATGTCAAGTAATTACATCACTTTAGCATTAAACATCTAATAAATTTCAAGAATTTAACAAAAAAAGCGTTTTAATTTAAATTTTAGATTTAAATGATTCATTTTAACTATATGACGACTGAAAACTAAAACTCAGATCCATATACCAAGAAATTTGAACATCCATTAACAGTAAATTTCAAAATTAACAATAATTTCAGATCAATCAAAATATCAAGGCAGCTTTAACACAGTTTACTAAGGATCACTACCTATTATTAATAGTGAGAAACCATAGAAAAATCAGTCATAAGGTAATTATTTCAAGGTATATATTGGGTTGTTCAAAAAGTAAGTTCGTTTTTTTCTCCGTGAAAAAAAACACAATATTTTTATAATAAATAAATATTTTATTGAATTATATATCAACCATTTTGGTCAGTTTCTGGTAGTAGCATGATTTCACATTCATAAAAGTTTTGATCGTTGCTTACAAAAAACTGATCCAAGTGATTTTTGACATCGTCATTTGAAGTAAATGTCTTACAGTTTAAAAAAATTTGTATAGACCGGAACAAGTAATAATCTGAGTGTGCTCCATCTGGCGGATATGGTTGGTGTGATAAGTGTGATAGCACATCCCATCTAAGTTATAACAGTTTCTGACGAGTTACCAAACTTGTGTGAAATTTGACATTATTGTGGTAAAACACCACCTGTTTTGTTGATAAATTCTGGCCGCCTTTTCTGTTTGATTATATTACTCAATTTGTTTACTCAATGGCAGTACACTTTCAAATCAATTGTTAAATTGTCTGGTAAAAGCTCCAAAAAAAAAAAAATTTTTCTTAAAATTCCACTAAAGAGAGCATCTCTCTTTAAGAACATGTGGAACCCACATATCAAGCTTTGAAACGAAACCAATTTGTTTCAAGTACAATCAACCCCCCCTATAATGCGGTAGATATGTTCCAGTTTATAAGAATTTCGCGATGTAGGAATCCTTAAATACAATCACAGCCCGGCACATGTGCAGTTTATGGACTACGGCTGTTTGAAAGGTTTTATTCCATAAAATTAATAGATTCTAGACTAATTTGACTCAACATTTCCAAAACACATATAATTTTTTGGGAATAATCTGTATAAACTATGCTATAAACAAAAAATTGTAGGATTACTTACCGAGTGTGCACCATTCGACAACGCCATTGCTTAAGCTTGTTTTCATCGCGGAGTAGTGCACCAAACGGCAGGCGCGTTTTCTAATCAGGGAATTTTTCGCAGAAAAATAACTTAACTTTGGAGACATCATTAATAGAAATAATTTTTATGGCGATTGAATAAGAAATGTTTTTTTCACAAGAAATGTATAAAATTACAGTACTGTATTAGACTTACAGTACCTAATTTATATACTGTACAGATGATAGTAAACTCAACTTACCCACCTAAACTCTCTGTAGTGTGTAAGTAGTTTGGCTGCTCGTCCACTATTGGTCCAGATTTGACCAATCCTGTTGCAACACGTGTCGGCGATGATGTTTTACCGCATTTTACGAGTCTCTTTTAGCGTCTTTATACAAATACAGTCGCAATTTTTCGCCGTGATATACGAATCTGCATTATATAAACCTGTGTTATAGGGGATCTACTGTAATCATAAATGGTTCAATTTGACAAATTTAATCTCTTAGTGATTTCACGTGTTGTTATTCGGCAGTTTGCTTCAATCAATACCTTTATTTTGTTTTCATTGGCTTCAACTGATCATCCAGAACATGGTGCATCTTCAATATTGAAATTGCCAGAACAAAATTTTGTAAACCAGTTTTGGCACTGTCGTTCTGTCAATATATCTTCTCCATACATGTCACACAATTTTTTTCTCGCTTGAACAGCATTCTTACCTTTTCAGTAATAAAAGAGCAAAATATGCCGAAAATGCTGCTTCCGATCTTCCATATTTGATGGGACACAAAAAATAAACAATTGCACAAAATCAAACAAAATATTTTACAAATAAGCCTTAAAATGCTAGCTGTCAAAATATATAATGATAATACGGTTTAGAATGAAAATGGCGGAAAAAATATGACTAATCCATCTAGTGGTAAAAAAATGAAATTACTTTCCGAACAACCCAATACATGAAATCCTCGTTAATTCAAATTTGTATAGTTCAAAATCCTGTTAATTCATAACAGTATTTTTGTCCCAGCCAGAGATATAGAGATTTACACATGGAATTTGGTTAGTTTGTAATACAGCCACCTCAAAATTTAAAGTGAAAATTCTGTCCAAATTGCAATATGCCTATGTTAACTCATTTGTTTAGATCAAAATGCCTCCATGCTAAAGAGAATAGTAGACAAGAACAGCTCTAATCTTGTCAATATGGTTTTGCTTTTACAGTAACAAATTTTTGGGTGTCACCTTATCCATGGACTACCCTTTTTTCTTTTATCTCATAAAATACAGCTGGTTTTTGGGATTGCAAGATTGGGCTACAAGTATCAGATTGACATATTTGTAGGGCTCTACACTACTAGATTTGGGCAACTTACTACTTTTTGGGCCATGTAAAAATAATTTGGGCTACATTTTGAGGGATCTGTTTTACTTTTTTTATAAATCTTATCTGACAATCCGTGAGGTTCTCACCTGAAGACACATGCAGTTTACCTTCACATTTATATTATTATTAATTATAAAAATTAGCATTCTTTGTACACATTTATATTCCATTTGCTTAATAAATTACATCAGTTACATGGCATTTGGCATAGTGTACAGATATATGTAAATCTCAGATAATTTGAAACTCGATAATTCAAAGTTGCAATTATTTCATCCCTTGAATTTTGAACTAACGAGGATTTCCTGTATTAAAATTTTAACAAGTGACCTTTATACAAAAAGATTGTGTTGTATGAAGTTTATTTAAAACTATTTATAAATAAGCTTTCGTCCTCTTTACAGTCAGGACATGTCTCTGTGATTATTTCTAATATTAAATTATAAATTCCATCACATATAAATTCTGAGATCAAAACTCATACTGGCACTTGGAGACAATTCTTCTCATTCAAGAGCTTGTTTGAATCAGTGCAGACAACACTATTTCTAGAACTTGATTGAAAATAGTAATTTTTTTTTTACAGATGAGTTAAGATTTAGTTTACATAACAGGCAAAAAAATTAAAGTCTGATAATGGATAATGTTCCATTATACATACAGCTTCATTTTCATTTTAAAATAAGCTTTTGTAAATTGTTGTTATGCAGTTTGATTTGTTAACTTGCACATTATAAATAATGCTATTGAATTATGTATATTATGAAACATTGTTAATTATAAATCACATAATTCTTTTGCATTATATACAAGTATCCCTCATATAACATGTATCTCTACACAACATGATTAAAAAAACAGCAATTTTCATACAACATGATTCTGGTATAACATGGTTTTGTTCTAACATGAATTTGAAATTGAAACATCCCTGCATAACACAACACAAGTTGATCCTGGAAATCTTTTTAAATTTTTATTTTGGTTTGCTAATTTGAATTCAGTAAATTTCCATTGCATGCAGTAGAACTGCATAAAACCTTCAAATTAACAATGACTAACTAATCAGGAAAGAGTTTTTGTGATCTTAGTTATTGTAAGATATTATACAGTATTTTAGTTTTCATTCACGGAACTTGTTTTAACAGAAGCAATGCTTTTTTCTAAATTCTAACTTTAGCCATGAATTACGTCTGATAAACTAAGAAAAGAAAAACTTTAGAGAAATTTTTTGTTGGAAAGAAAAATAAAAATTTTGATCATTTTAAAAAAGGAGAAAAAATATCATACATGTCTAAAACATTAAATTTAAATAAAGCAACTATCCAAATCATTTAGAAGAATGAACAGAAAATTAGAAATTCTGTAGCTAAAGGTTGTTCTACTTCTGCAAGTAAGACTACTTGCTGCTGAACACCAATAATTAAAAAAAAATGGAGAAAAGCTCTTAATATCTGGATTGAAGATAACACAAAAAATGGATTCTCTGAATACAAACATTTTAAAAAAAAGTATTAAAAATTTATACCCATTTAAAAGAAAGTGGAGAACCTTCTGTTAATCTGGACTTTGTTGTCAGCAAAGATTGGTTTGAGAACTTTGAAAAATGATTTTTATTATAAAATGTACAAATATAAAAAGTGAATCAGCAGATAGCAAAGCTACCAAAAAATAGGCATACAAGTTATAAATAATTATTGAACAAGGTGGATATATAACACATCAGGTTTTTAATGCCAATGAAATAGATCTTTGATGGAAAAAATAACAAATATAACATTTACTTCAAAAGAAGAAAAACTGAATCAGGTTTTAAGGCAGAAAAAGTCATGTAATGTTATTTCTTACAGTAATCCTTCTGGTCATTATATGAAAACTATGCTATGCTTCAGATCACTTAATCCTTGAACAATGAAATGTGTTAACAAGAATTGGTTACAAGTAGGGTGGTTTCTCAAATGGTATCCCGGTTGTTTTTTTAACCCGGGAAATCCCGCAAATTTCTTAAAAATTCACTTTTTTCTTATTTTGTGTTAAAGTTGGGGAAATTTTGCAAATAGAAAGTATAATTAACTCATAAACTGTCAGAATACATTTGTATTTATTAATTTTAAACCTACTTATTAGATTTTTTTAAATTTTTGCTCATTATGGCATGTCACAAATGGTCAATAATCAATACATAGCTTATTTGCAGCAGGACTCTCAAAATTCTTTACCTGTAATATCTGGATAATTGTGCTTATGCTGTCTTAATTTTTAATCATGTCCAGTAAATTCAATAACTGTGTAACGCCAAGTTGTGCAAATTGCGCAAGGATACAAACGAGTACGAAGTCTGCAAGTATGAAGTTTTTAACAAAACCTGATTATTAAAGACAAGTGAACTGCCAAATTATTGGGCTATGATGTTTCTATTAAAGCAGTCGAGGTAGACAAATCAAGAATACTAGAGAACAAAAGAAGTACTACAATATCGAAAACAAACTAGAAATCTTTCAGGATACAGGTGAAAAATGCATATTTGTCTTCTCTTAAATGCATTAAACACGATTCCACTTGCATCAATTGAATCGGAAAGGGCATTCCCGGTAGCAGGACTTTTCATTACCAAAATAAGAATCAGATTGAGTGATTGATTGACCATCTTTGCTTTTTAAAATCTTATAAAAATTTACAATATTTTGTATTATATTTTATTTAAAAAATGAAAATTACCTTCTAAGTTAGAAGTTTAATCTAAGTTTTTTTTTTTTTTTAAATTTTTATCTCAATTCAAAGCGTTTTTTTTTTTTGTTGTTGTTGTATGCAGTTTCCAGCAAACTAATAAATTTTTCTATTTGTGACAATTTCTACGTAATTCAAAGGTAATTTTTAATATATATCTTACACATCATTATTATTATGATTTCGGAGTTTACAGAACGTATTAAATTACTTTAAAAAATGAAAAATAATTATATCATTTGATTTCATGATATTTTGTATATCTCAAAAATAATTAATTTTGTCCCGAGATTTCCCGGGATCCTGGGTAACACTTCACTTTTATCTCGGAATCCCGGGACAAGCAAAAGACCGGGAAATGAGAAACCCTAGTTACAAGTATACTGGACTGCAAATTAAAAAGTTGGGTAACCCAGAATTACTCAAAATTTGGTTTTTCATCTGTTTTATACCAAATGTGGAAATTATGTCAAGTAAAAACATTTAAACTTCAAAAGTTTTATTGGTGTCAGATGTACTCTGCCATCCAAAAGATTTAAGTCATCCGAATGTTGAAATAGCATTCCTATCATCAAATAAAACTGCCTTGATTTAGTTGTTATATATAGAAATTTAACAGATGTGATTGACAACATGATGGCTTGGAAATACTTTTAATTTTGAACTGTATCTATATATCTCTGTAATACAGTGACGTTTTTACACTTTATATTTTAGTGTTTTTTTAAATATTTTTTTAATATTTCATTAAAAAGTTTTACCTATATACAACATTTATCCAATTTTATCAACAATCTTTTAATTTGTATTACAGATATACCTTTTTATTGCATTTTATTAGTGTTTTAAACTCAATTTAAATTCTTTTTTAAATCTTAATTTATTTTTAGTTTTACTATTTTTACCCCCTTTAATAGTCCAGCTGTCGCCAATATAAATATACTATTGCAGCTAATTTACTTTACTAAATTTTTGTGTGTAATGTAATAAACAGTTGTAATCCATAATGTAATTCATTGTTTCAATTTATCAGATATAACAGGACTGATGATGGGGAAACAACTTGAGATAAATTTCCTTTCTAAATAAAAGACTGTATAATCAATCACCTGGTGTTCCATTTTAAAAAAAGCAAAAATTTTGTGCTTAGTACCAACAATCTTAAAAAAACAACATGTAATCAAGTACCATAGTTTTGATAGCCAAAAGTATGAAATTTTGCTTTGTTTTGTATTTTAGAATTTATGAATCACAAAACTTGGCACCATAGTTGAGTAAATAAGAGTATAGCCAAAAACGTTTTTAAAATAAAGAGTATAGCTTTGATTACCTTAATATGCAGAACTGTTAATATTTATTTTAAAGTTGTATTTTTGTTACCTTTTGGAATGCAACCCTGCTTTTTCTTATTTTTAGTCCCACATAACAAGGATTTGCTTAACATGTCATTTGTCAGGAATCTAATTCCCTATTATACAAGGATACCTACAGGTATCCCTGCATGATAAAATTCAACTATTGCTTGCATGCATGTTGTAAAAAATTATTTTTATATTTCATTACTATCTGTATAAATTAACAAAATACCTTCTGATACTCTGTTAACAATATCTTGGAGCACAGAAGCTGCTATCATCTGAGGTAATTCTTCTAGTTCCTCACATTCTTGTTTATAAGAATCCATACATGGTTCTATTCTATCAGTTTCATCAAATTTTCCAATTACAACTTCATTTTCACTTCCACCTCCCTACAGATTATCAATTATAAATAATAAAANTCATCTAATTAAATTCGTTCAACTACTACCATTAAAAACCAAAAGGGCTGAAGAAGTAGCATACGTTCTTTTAGACATTTTTACAATTTTCGGTGCACCGAGTATTCTACAAAGCAATAATGGCAGGGAATTCACCAGTAATATCATCAAAGAAATGTGTAATATGTGGTCCGAGTTAAAAATGGTGCATGGAAAGCCCAGGTACTCACAAAGTCAGGGTTCAGTAGAAAGATGTAATCAAGACATAGAAAATATGCTTAGTTCTTGGTTGGAGACTAACAATACTAACAAATGGTCAGAAGGATTACGTTTTGTACAACTGATGAAAAATCGAGCACATCATACTGGTATAAACTGCAGCCCCTATGAGGCCATGTTTGGAGCAAAGTTAAAAGTTGGACTAAAGAATTTTATACCCAACGAATCATTGATCAACGGTTACTGCATGTTTTGTTTCCGTATTATTAGTAGAAACTATTTTGGTAATAAATTCATTTTGTTATTTACTCTTGTCATTTTTTTATTGACCATTGGAGGTTAAAAAAAAACAGCCTATGTATATTCAACATATAACAGTTATCCTAGAATGGAACAAATTCAGTTTGCTGTTATAGTTAAGATAAAACAATATTTGTCATAATCAAATTGTATAGCATCTCTAAACCCAATATATTTGTAATAAGCCAAACAACTACCATTAATTCATATGCCTTTATGTCCTCATTTTATTCAATTTATTATATAAATGTCTACTAGGACAGATCATATTAATATGGCCTATTGTACTGGTGTTCGGTTTCTGCAGTCGAAGAAACTGAACATCAGTACAAAAGGTCATATTAATATGATCTGTCCTAGTAGACATTTATATAATAAACTGCAAACAACTACCAGATTACATTGGGCTACTTTTCTGAGACTTATTTAGAAATTAATTAAAATAATCGTAGAAAAGTAGCCCAATGTAATCTGGTAATTGTTTAGCTTATCTTGTATATATTAAACATTTGTACTTTAAATCTTAAAAGTAATACACACATAAAATTGATGTAATATTTATCTATTTTTTTTTTTTTTTTATCTGCAGGTATAGTCTGATAATGATAAATATTATTTTACTGAAATTGTAGCAGTAAATCTAAATTTGTTCCATACTAGAATAACCTTGTTGTATTTGAATGTGTGGTTCTTGATGGTAAGTAATTGATACTTAAAGACACGAATATTTTTATATACCTATTCCTCTATTGACGCATTTTTACTATATTTTGTTAATTTTTTGCAGTACTAATCTTAAATATTTTTGGAATTGTCAAATATCTAAATATTTAATAAAAATATTCTGATTTTTTTAATAAGGTTAGTAATTCATGTTTTATATCTGCATGTAATTTTATTTTTATAAAAATTTTTTTAAAGTTAAAAAATTTTATTTTTAACCTAAATGTTTCAAAAAAATAAATAAATAAATAAAATACTCACTGCCTGAGCTTCCATTCGACTAAAAATGACATTTAGCATCTGAGTCAGAGTTGCCTTTGCAGTTGTCTGGTTTATGAGATTGCGACTAGCCAAATAAATATTGTAACAAGTCCTAACAGCTTGTAATACACTCCCTTCATGAACTTCACATGACTGAGAAGTCACCACTGTTAACAGTGCCTAAATATAATATATAAAATAATAATACATCCATCATTAATATTGCTAGATAAACAAATATATTTAAAAAATGATTGATTATATTTGATATTTATAAAATACTAGTTTATAGATGAACTAGTTTAAAAAGTTAGATCAAGTAAAGTATAACTGTAACAATTTTAATTGAATCTTAACTTATGTAATTCATTCATTCACATATTTATGATTACTTGTATGTCCAACTAAACAATGCTTAATAAACATAATTATGTTAATTAATAATAATTGCATATAACCTCATAATTTAGATATCTAGTAATATGGAATGATTTTTGAGAACATTCTTAAGTTAATTATTACTGACACTTTTAATATCAACATCATTAATTTCTTAAAACAACAAAATTTACTAATAAATAATATATGAAAACATTACATTGGATGAGTTGTCAACAGTGTTTCAATGATTATTCTTGGTAATGCATTATTAAGAACTGTTGTTTAATACAGTTTCTAACCACAAGGATTCTTTCTTTCAGAATTCAAACATTCTTTCAAATAAATGGATACAATAGATACTTTTTACTATATCTCTAGTCTCATTTTCTGCCGGTTAAACACCTTATGTATGGCCAATGTCTTTCTTGTATGTATGTATATCTCTAGTCTATAAAATTTTAAACAATAAGCTGAATATCTAAACATGCAGTATGTATGTATAACATTTCCACTTTTGTCATGAGTATTTTCATGTAATTTCCTTAATAACTCAATAGAATTTAGTGGACTGGTTCAACATGTGTAAATTTACACTGACTTAGGCATGATTTGTCAAGTTTTACTGTTATAAAGTATAAACACAAAATTGGAAAAAACTTCAACAACTCACACATCAACACCTTTACTTCCCAACAATAGTTTTTAATTAAACAAATTTCTCTCTCACTCAATAAGCCTTCTTCAGGTTAACAATAGAATCAAAACACTTTGGCAGTTAACATTTGAAAGAACATGTGTTCTAATTAGAATTCACAGAATTTTAAATCTTATAAAGGTATATGAGATGTAAAGATAAAAACAAAGATAAAAATTACAAATTAGCAAAAAAATACCAATATAACATGTATAAAAATTAAGTTTAAATACATACCTAGCATTAAATATGTATAAACCGCAATCTCAATAAATAGTATATACATTACCTTATACCATACATTAACCTATAACACAATATTTTAACCAATGATGTTAAAATATATATCTTTATTGTTAAACTATTTTAATCTGTATAATTAAACTGCCTCCCCTGTCTTTTATGCCATTCATCCATCCCATCTTTTACAAGGCATCATACAATGATCTCTAAACTGAAGATAAAAACTCGGCTCCTTATAATTGATGCAGTCCCCCATTTGCTGCTTTAAAGATCTCAAGGGTTTCTAATGTCCTAATATGGTCAGTTCTAAAAGCAGCATATATCATTTCAGTCTTATCCAACTTTGCCTCTATCCCTTGTTCAGTGGTAAATACAGCCAATATAATGACTGGCTTAAATCATTTCTATGGCATATTTATGTTCTCTCAATCTATTAACTAGTGATCTGTTTGTAGAATCTATATATTCTAGGATACATCCAACCCTTTCATCCATTATAGAGATTCTGTAATGGATGAAAGAGTTGGGTGTATATGTCCAAGAGATTCTGTATATGTCAAGGACTTGTATTTGTATTATACTTATTGTTTTGTAACAATTTATATACTGTTAGTTTGCATCAATAGCAAAGAGTTGTATCAGTGTATTTAGCAATTTTGCTATATATGCATGCCAATGTCTTACTGTAATCAACTATCAAGTGGCAAGAAACTTGGAATGTATACAGTTGCTGTCTAACATGCATCTGGAAATATTGATCTGGTGATTTACATATTTCTGTGTCAATTTCTGTACCATCCTTCTATGGTACCCATGACTTACTGCTATTTCCTTTACTCATTTGAGTTCTTCTAATATGTATAATATGTTGGAGCAACGAATAATAGCTCTATTAATACTCTAAAGGTGTCTAGTTTTAGTTTATAGTTGTAGAAGTCACTTAAAAAAAAAAAAAGGTGATGTCCTGGTTTTTGATACAGGTTGGTAAAGATTTGGCCTCCCCTAAGTATATTCATTAACTCAAGAAAATATCCTGATGTATCACTCCTGTTCTAGTTTCAGTGTGAAGCCAAATGGATTGTTGTTAATCCTTGTTAAAAAAACTGTCTGGTTTAGCTTCCAAATAATAAGAATGTCAATGACATATATCATATAGAGTACAATGTGTAGGGGAAATTCTGGTAAAAGTGTTTTCTTTAGGTCCTGATTTACCAGCTTGCATAAGTCTCCAGATATAAGACTTCCCATTGGTACACTATGGTTCTAAATGAAAGTTTGGTTACTATATTTAAAGAAATAAGAATAACAAATAAATAGGTAAGTTCTATGATTTGTTGATGACGTTAGAATGTAGATGTTAGAATGTTGATGACGTTAGAATGACCCTCTCTAATAGAAAGTCCCTCAATATACAAAAACAGGATTGTATACATATTAAGAAGTACAGATTAATATTCTTAGTCCTACAACTAATCTTATTCTATTTTTATTATTATTTGCTTTTACTTTGTAACAAATTTATTAATTTAAAAATACCTTTATAATTTGTAACTGAACTCCATCATCAGTAGTTGGGCCTTGAAAGCAACTACATATTGTTTCAACAATCCTATCTATTAATTGCTTTTCAGGAATTCTGGGATCAGGAATATTTCCCGTAAGATGCCCATATGCAATTAATTTCTGAAAAAGTGAATATAATATGATTCAATTAATAAATCATTACAGAAATAAACAGTAATAGTAATAATAATAATAATAATAATAATAATATTTTGTGCTAGTCATCACCTTGTTGAGATGAAGAAAGCACAGCACAGTACTTTCAATGAACTAACAAACAGTGCTGCCAGAATCAAACTTTCAGTAGAGCCTTCCATACTAGTAGGATCTATGAGAAGAAATAAAGCTAAAAGCTAGGTAGCATCTGACCTAGAGTTGGCTGCTGCTTAAAAGCATCTGTTCCCCATGTTTAGAGCAACTGATTTATGAGCATTTGGTTTTAACATAATATAAGCATACCTACTTCTGTAGAAGGAAAATAATTGTTGTGGCACATTCTCAGTATGAATTTGGTTTGAATGTTAATGTATGTTACCCAGGAAAACAAAGGTCCATATTGACGGGTTAGACAGAAGGACACATTCAAAAATCTACCATAGTCTCTCTTGGCCACCAGTGGCAAATGCAGCATTGGCTTAAATTTGGCTATGCAATCATAATTACATTCACACACAATGGATAATGTATACCAACTTAGCCAAAGAGCTTTAGAGGAATTCAGCCACCAATCACCAAGGACAGAAAAAAATGCCAATGGATGGAATGAACACAAGAAATGAATGAATTTATTCTCAATGTTACAAAAAAATTGTTTTTGATCAGAAAAGGACAATTAAACGTAACCATGTTATTTTAGAAACAACACTTCAACATATCAAACAATAAGTTGTAGAACAAATACATCAACTTGCACTAATACTAACTAAATCACAATAAAGATCAGACATTTAGCATGACATATATACATTATTATATAGTACATCAAGACCAAATTATATAATAATAATCAAATGATAATGCCAGAGTCATTGGGCCATAACTTGGCTAAATAAACTGAGTACTCTTCAATTTATTGGTAAGTATATCTAAAAAATACCTTGTTTATCAGGAAAACACGAATTACTCATGGAAAATTTCTTATCCGTTTTAGGATGATAATCCAATAATAAATAACCAAATTCCTTTTCAATTGCTTTTTTATATGCATCTATGAAAAAATTAAGCTTGGCAACCCAAACAACACACTTGACTTTCATCATGATTATTTTTAAATGAAATCAAGTAATGAGTATTTAAATTTATATCTCTCATAATTCTATTTTTCAAAAATAAATTTTGCATTATTAAGATGATGCTTACATGAGATTAGACCATGAACAAATGTGTGGTTTTTGGAGACAATTTGTGCATCAAATCATCAATTACTATTAAATCCTATCCTTCCACAGATTCAGGTAAGCCATACATAAATGTAATATCTTTTTATTCTTGAAAAAATGGTAGATATACAGAATAACACTATAGAATCTTAAGAGGTTTTTCATAAATTTTGTAATGAATAATTTTTCTTACCAATGTAGTTTTTCTGCATTGTGATGGTCCTACAATTATACAAGTACAAGGATGTTTGAAATTCATATCAATCAACCTTATCAATTTTAGCAAATCTATAAAATTTTGATCTTGAAGTTATCTCCTTAAACATTAACAAATCCTTTTTGTTATCTATATAAATTTCTTTCATGTCTTCTACACATCGTTCAAACGAATTGTATAATCCGTTACTTACTTTGTTAATTCACCCACCATCATTAACAATTACAAAACCAAACTTTCCTTCTCCTTTCCAAAATTCACCATTAACTTTAAAATAACGCAAGAGAATAGGAAAATTATCAGGGATATCGAAAGAAAAATTATTTACTCCAGCAATACAAGCATCCAAAGACTTCTATAAATAAGGAGAAATAGTATAAATTCTATTGTTGGAGTAATTAATAACAAAACCATACATCTCCATGGCTGCAGTTAAATAAAACAAATATTCTTTAAAAATTTAATTTATATCAAATAATAACCAATCATATTTCTTCTAGTTATTCTTTTTAAATAAAAAATATAGTCCAAAGTGTATCAGACATATAAAGGTATAAGAACAAGTGTATCAGACATATAAAGGTCTGTTTGGACTATACGGACCTTTATATGTCTGATACACTTGTTATATGTCTGATACAAAAGTTATATGCTCTCCACCCCAAATTAGTAGTGTCTTGCCCCTATATATCATACTTTCCTGCAAGCAACAGAGTAGTGCTGGTCATCTATCAAACTTTTTTCAGGGAAAAATTTTTGAATTGAAACAGCATTACTTCTGGTGCAAACCAGAAGTTCGTATATAGTTAATAGGTCTCCTGCCCCTAACCTTTCCATATCTGGTCTCAACTTTCATCCATCTCAGTTCTCAAGAATAAGGAAGGACAGACAACAAGACAGACAGATGGACAACAGTGGGAATTTATAAGTCTACAATTTTTTCAAATTGAAGCCCAATAAAAGACAAACCACTACAACGTTAGTTACATATGGTTTGGATGAGGATGCACAACTTAAGTACCTTGAAATGCTAAAAGTTTACAAGGCAAGCAGAAACAACATGGTTATTAACTACAAGGGCATTATTCCCAGCTTGGATGGCTTTAATTGAAATTTAATATTACTTTTTACATCCTGATGCAATCATATGATTGCTGACTTCCAATCAGACATTGTTCTTTTTATATTTTAAACAGATAACATTCCATCTCTTGTTCTGTTCCAAATCTGTTCTTTTAACCTGAAGATGATAGCTCAAGGCAATTGAAAAACATATATAAACATGTCAAAATCTAATATTTTTGTAACAAAACTAAACAATTGCCAGATTTAAATCAGGCTACTTTATTGCTACTATTAATAATTAAACACTGAGTAATTTGGTACTAGAGACGGCACCTAATGCCTATCTCTAGTACCAAATTACTCAGTATTTAATTATTAATAGTAGTGGTAAAGCAGTGTGGTTTAAATCTTGCAATTGAAAATATTTGCTTTTCTTTCAACATTTTATTCTACATGCTGAATTTTTGGTTTTTATAGGTGATATTTGAAGTGTGCACTGCCATGATGTAAATGTCAAAAAACAAATATTTTAGGAAAGATAAAAAAAAACTTTTCTAGTGAATGAATTCCTTCAAGTCCTAAAGAAATTTATTTCAATTTTACAATAAAATGGTTTAAAAAAAACTCGCTAGGTTTAAAAATTCTCTGGAATAACAAAATAATGTAAACATTATGGCTTGCACATAAATTCAACTTCAAAATACAGCCACTTACAGCACCACTATCAACATTTTTTTGCAACAAAAAACATTAGGTTTAGAATTCATTTCTTCAATAAAATGTATTTAGAGAAAAAGGACATTTACAATATCAGGGCATTGCATGCTTTATTTATAGTTTCATTAAAATATTAATGTAAGTGTTTTTAAAGATATTGATATAATTATTAATATAATATAACTAATATGAAAGCTATTTGTGAAACTTAAATATTTAATCATAGTTGATATTAAACTACTCTCTCTCCAAATAACAAATATCAACTATGAATGAGAGTTTTGAATGATTGCATTATCATATCAAACATTACCTTCGTGCCAAAATTCATCAAAATCAGTAAAGGACAACTTTAGTACTTCTTGTTAGAGATAAGTTACAATAGAAATGATTTATTCTTCTAGGGACTATAATGATTCATTTTTCTTATATAAGATTGATGCATTTTTCAGCTAATGTTGAGCCACTAGCTTGTATCAGTCCAAGACTCCAAAATTATGACAACTTAAATGTCACTACACCACAGGTTGGGGAAATCCCTGTACAATACTGTTTTGCTCTAACACGATTCGAGAATTGGAGACATCTTCAACCTGTAGTGACACTTAAGTCACAGCCACATATTAAGTCAATATTTTGCTAATTTTTATATATTATAATATTAATAGCTAATTTGTTTTAATATTCTTATAAACAACAATCTATCTTTGATTAAATTGTAAATTATAAATTAACAAGAATTTTTAAAGACAGAAAAAATGCCTTCAGGTACAAAATGCTCAAGGGCATATATTACTCAAATTATTTTAGGTACCCAGTTAGCAAAATAACACAGGCATCCAAACAAAACAATTCTATAATGTTCAGTATACTAACATATATACAGATATCCCTCATATAACACAATAGTTAGGTTCCAAAAAGTGCCATGTTATGCAAATCCATTCTATACAAAGCAAAGGACATGTATAAAGCATAGAGTTAGATTACAAAAGTTAGCAAAAGTATGCTATTCTGTTTTTAATTAAGAGAAATATGTTTATTAAATCAATCACTACCAGAAGTATTACACATTAGTATTAATTTTTTCTTCACTGCTAAACACCATTAAATGAAGATGTTTTATTTTTGGCAAAATGTTGTCATCTGAGCCTTCCTGTTGACTTAATCTAAAATATTGGCAACATCTTGATTTTTCTCTACTTTTTTCATAAAATCTGATATTTTCATTTGCTTGCATTTGCCTAAGACATCTTTAAAAATTTAATCTTTTTGTGTAGTAACTTTTAATTTAATCTCTAAAAACAAAACATGAAAATGGTCTTTCAGGTTCATTTAAAATACTATCACCAACAGCAGCAACACCTGGTTTATAGAAAACTAGGACAAGGAAAAATACTTGTACAATTGATTCTCATTAAAGAAAACCAGGCAAAGGCATACAATAATATTGAAAATTTCAATATTCTAAAATCCATTTACAAATATGAGACAATACAGTACACATGCATATTTGAATAAAAAGACATTGAATGATTATGATTGCACTAAAAAATTATGACATTTTGTATGGATATGTATCCAATTTTCAAAGCATGTTAGAGCAAAACAGTGTTGTACAGGGGATTTCCCCAATTCCTGAATTGTGTTAGTGTGAAACTGTGTTGTAGGAATGCCATGTAAATTTAACAAGGGATATCTGTATATTTTTTTTATTCTTTTGTATAATTGAATTTTCAATAAAATTTCTAAATTTTACCAATTTCTACATGAGCATTAAATCACTATTAATTTACAATATTTTCAATTAAGAATTACCTGAATACAGTCTAATGCTGTTATTACAATTCGAGGTGACTTTGACTGACATGCCAATTCAAATGGTAAAAAGTATTTTTCTGCTTCTAAATTGCCGGCTTTTGATTTAGGAAGGGGTAGAGCAGAGGAAGTATTATCAAGCTGACTGAAATATAAAAAATATTATTTCATAAATATTAAAAATTTAATTTTTATGTATACATTTAATAATTTTGTATATATTCTTAATTATTAATAAAATATTAATAATTGTTAAGATTATACAAATTACACAATACTTTCCAATCAATTACTATCTATGAGGTCTGTTCAAAAAATATGCGAACTGACGTCATAAAACAAAATGTACTTTATGTAAAAGTTACATGTCTGGGTCCCCTTCAAAGTACTCTCCTTCCCAACGCACACACTTATCCCAACGATGTTTCCACTTGTTGAAACAGTCCTGGTACACTTCTTTTGTAATGTCCTTCAGCGCCTTTGTCGCATTCGCCTTAATCTCGGGAATCGTCTCAAATCTTCTTCCTTTCAAGGGTCTTTTGAGTTTGGGGAACAAGAAAAAGTCACAAGGAGCAAGGTCAGGTGAGTAGGAGGGGTGGGGAAGAACAGTGATCAAGTGTTTGGCCAAAAACTCACGAGTTCTGAAGGCTGAATGGGCTGGAGCATTGTCATAATGGAGAAACTAGTCGCCACTCCTCCACATTTCTGGCCTTTTGCGATGGATGGCGTCCCTCAGACATTTCAGAACTTCAATGTAGTAAGTCTGGTTCACTGTGGAGCCTTGGGGGAGGTACTCGTGGTGAACAACATCCTTAGCATCAAAAAAAACTGTCAGCATCACCTTGACATTGGATCAAACTTGGCAAGCTTTTTTGGGTTTGGGGGACCACTTGAAACATGCTGTAAGCTTCATAGCAACATCACCATAAGCCGTGTTGAGCATAGCAAATGTTTCAATTGCAGATTTCCCAAGTTTAACATAAAATTTCACAGCAAGTCGTTGCACCATCAGGTGCAACGACATTGCTGAACATTCTGAAATCCGACAAACGAAAAAATTGCACTTTACTAAAAACTGCATAGCTAATCAACAAATAAAGATATCTGTAATCAGGAAACGGCTTTATCACCATAGGGATCTGTACAAACCTAGCGACACCAAGCAGATTCCCCTGGAACCAACTGGAGCCGCGCAATTCAAACAGTCCGCGTATTTTTTTAACAGACCTCGTATATCATATAAGAAAGTTTCAGAATAAAGTTGTTTTTGTTTAAAATGGACAACACAACTATTAAAAATCCTAAACAAAAAAAAAATGATTTTTTTTCGGATGTTAGATTAACAGTGTTCTTTCAATTAAATCAGTATTTTCTTAAATACCATATTTCTTCAATTCTACAAAGCATTATGATTTTGAAATAGACTTTTAAGACTTTTTTGGAGGGAATAATTTTAAAATAATAAATTTTACTAAGTTTTGTTAAAAATGCAAATTCCATAAAATAGGTAATGTTTGGCAATTATTCCCATGCTCTTCTCTGTATACCGTAACAAACCCAGCATTTCTCAACAGAACATAGCCAAAGTCATTATTCTCTTCACCAGTTTGTTATCCCTAAACCATGCATCCTGGCACAAATAACTCCCAGCTAAACAATGCACATGTACCCAGCTGTCCACATGGGTGAAACAAAATATGATTCATTGAAACAGGAAACCTGGCCACTCAACATCCTGTTTTGATTAATGGTCATGTGGTCATATCATTAGAGAAACTTTTGACAGTGAACTGAGGTGAGCTTTGGCACTCAAAGTGGTTTCTAGCTATGCAGTACAATTTACAGATAGGTTCTATATTTTGTATCACATTGCTTTCTTCACTAGCATTGAAATTTTCAGTAAAATAAACAAACACCTTTCTCTATTCCAGCACAACGTTTAATGCGTTAAAACTGTTTTCGACCGTTTTAAGCAATCTTCTTCAGTTCAAATTCGAACCATATAACAAACAAAGTATTCAAAAAAAATACAAAAAAATACAAAAATGCGGAACCTGAAGAAAAGGATTGATGAGCACAAATACTCAGTGAATAGGAGTGTTGATAGCATAGTCCTTGCAGCATTTGCAAAGCAGCAAGGAATTGCAGTATACTGGGATCAGGCAGCGATTATTAGACCTACAAGATCAATGCAAGCAGTGAAACACCTGGAAAAAGTTGAGATACACAAGGCACATATGACCACGCAGTGCATCAATCACAGGGATGCTGAAGGTTTATCAACAGTCTGGAAGTCACTTCTGTTCATACCAGACAAGAAAGCAGATGCTCACATCTAAAATCAATGAAAATCAACTAACCCATACCTCAACTAGTGGTTTGCTGTTTTTCTCTCCTCAAATCATTTTTTGAAGATGCTAACCAAAGCTGATTATGAATATCCCATATGCCTTGCTATCTCAGAAATACTTTGACCCAGTCAATGAGCCACCACAATTTGGTTTTTGTCAAACTCACTTGAGTCCATTAATCTTCCCATGTAAGGAAAATGTAAATCAAGAATTAACAGCTCTGTCTGCTCTATTCACATTAATCTCTGATGTAAATATGTGCTGTGTTTTGTCTTCAGTTGCATTTGAATGCATAACATAAAGGTAGTCATAATGTTTTGGCTTTCCAGTATGCATGTTCTACTTAAAAATTTGAATATAATATCTTGCTCTCTCTCGTATTAATAAATAAATTTGTAATCTTTAAAAATGAAATAATAATTATAACAAACCAATAAATCCTTAGTGTTTCATAAATCCTCGGAGTTAGTGTTTGTATAATTAGAAGTAATAAGAAAAATATCATAATTTGCTGTCTATAATCCTTAGATTGTGTTAAATCCTTCCAACTTCGATGGTTGAATAAACTGTGTATAATCTCTGACATTTTTTTCCATAACACAAAAAAGATTCTAAAATCATTTTACTTTTTATCGTGTCAAGAAGTCTTCTTGACTAGTGCTGTGCTGATAACTGATATATCAAATTAAAATTGATAAATGTACGGTCAATGATCAATATTAATATTTTAGATTTTAGAATGGCCGATCAATGTTGTAAACATTTATTAGCTTAAGTTTGATACATCAGTTATTGGCACAGCATTAATTGTGAGACTGCAACAAACTCCAACAAAAGATAAATCTAAAAAAAAATTGGTGTTACAAGTATTGGCAATTTTGTTATAAATAAGTGGCATCTCATTGTTTTTATTTCATTAAACCCCTCCAAAATTTTTAACATTCTAGTGCAATTTTCTGACAGCTAGAGAAATTATTAAGTTGAAAGAAGTAAATTAATAATATCATTGGTACTTATAGAAATAGTGAAACTATTTCTATAAGTACCAATGATATTATTAATTTACTATTAATCCATATGTAGGCTTAGAGTGCTACATATGGATTAATAGTAAATTAATAATATCATTGACAACAAACACCAATACTATCAATATGTTAAAGGAATCTTGAAATCAAGCCCAATATTAATATCAATATTTTGGTTTAGTACAGTCCTATTCTTGACATGGTAAAATGTGAAGAAATATCTTATTGTTTATGAAAAATTATGGGCAGGAAATTACAATACTTATAGAACTTAAGAACAGTGGGAGAACTACAATAATGCAAAGTGATTCAGCAGAACCAGAGTCCAGAGTCAACAGAGAACCAAAGATGTCAAGCAAAAAGTCTACACCCATGATCAACTTCAATCATGTGATCAACAGATCTCTCGATCATGTGTTGGATGATTCTTTTTCTCATCAAGGACTAAAAACTTTTTCAAGAATATAAGTCTCATCTTTTGTGGCAGAGTGTGAGAGAAAGCAATACTCAGTAGAATTTCAAATCACAGTCCATAGTGAAATTGTTTCCCTATGCTTAAGAATATTAATTAATATATAGTTATGTAAATACTATCAAGATATTTATTAACTTTTGTAATTCTTACTAAATTAAATTTATAATTTAATAAGAATCAAAAATTTTGTTTGTATTTATCTTGGCAAAAGATTAATTGCTATACTAATTAAATGTTTTAAGAAATAGACTTCATTATTAAGATCTTGATAAATGATTATAAATTCCTTTAAAGATAAGTCTTTGGTCACTTGAAAAGTTGGAAATATTTCAGTGACTAAACTTACACCATTATAAAATGAATGTAGAAATATTAAACACTTCTCAAAAGTAAAACAGCAACACCACAAAGGAATATGCATAACCATATGCAAGTTGTAGGACCAATAGATGATGACAAAGATATGTAAATGATTAAGTTTGAGCATGCATTGTCATGTAGTATCCAGTTTTGGGCTGTAACGGTTAATAGCTGACTCAGGCCACAAATGCTATCAGCAAGAGTTCATGGCAGCCAAACTTTGAAGAAACATAGAAAATGCCTCTGAGACAAGAGTGGGCTGAATACCACTAGTTAACAACTGGGAAATAACCATATCCTGGACATGTGCAACCTTGGTTTGTCAATGCATGCAGTTTTCACAGGTGATGGACACGAAAAAGTACCATCCAGAGATGTATGACACAATGGATGTGGGTACATCTGAGAACATGCCAAAGAGAGAGTGGATTGCACTGGCGCTTGACAGAGCACACAGACTGGCAGATTTGCCAAACAACCCTTCAGGATCTGTTTTCCACTGCACATGACATCCTAAGCTGCCTGTTGCCATCAATGGGTGCATCTGTGTCCATGCAAACTATTCACTACAAGACGCATGAATTCAGGCTGCACTCAAGGTAACCAGCAACCAGGGTACATTAACTGCTTGAAATAGGACTGCATGCTTAGCATTGTGTCATCGTCATCGCAACTGGAATACTAAATGGCATTGGGTATTGTTTACAGATGAATCCCACTTCTGTCTATGCCTAGCTCTAAAGAAAGGTTGTCTCTGAAATGGAAAATAGTTTGTTCCTGGTGATTGGACATGGCAAGCAATGAAGATAGGACTAGTATCCAACTGTAATGTAATTTTTACTTTATTAAACCATGTTTTTTGTTTCTGTTTCTATTTTCTTTCTTACAATTGATGTGAAATTTGCCATTTATGTGTTTTGCAGTACGTTGATACCTGTCTATGGAGGACTGACAGCCATGGACAGATGTGGTAGTATCCCAGGAAATGCTATGTGCCAGTCCTTTTCACTGAGCATCACACCAGACATCATGTTCAAACAGCAAATTTCAGTATTCTGACAGCCAACCAGTACATCACACAAATTGTGGGGCCTGTGGTTTGGCCACTGGTGCAGGCCACACCTGACACACTGTACCAGTAAGACAATGCCCAACTGTGTGTCATATGGCAAACTCTCACCAGCTTGAATGGAATTCACATCCTTCCCTGGCCAGCAGCCTCGGTGGATCTCTCTCCCATCAAACACCAGTGTGACCTCGTATGATGTGAAGTGCACCAGGAACCATTACCACATACTATAGATGACAAGCATGCCTCAGTGGACACAGCTTGGCAAGGAATATCTCAGGCAAACATTAATCGCCTTATTGAAAGAATGACTTGCCATATAGCAGCCTGTATAACTGCCCATGGAAACCATATTCATTAGTGAATAAACAGGTCTCTGTTGCATATCCATTTTCTTTTAATCATTTGCATATCTCCATCATCTCTATTAGTCCTGCAATGTGCATTCCATCATGGTGTTGCAATTTTACTTTTGAGTAGTGTACTGTACATACTGTATATTTATATTTGCATTTGAAAAACCAATTTCTAAAGATATTTTCTCAGTCAGAAAAATATAGCATTCAATAAAGTTTTTTTAATCAAGGAACAGATCAGTGGCCAACTTTAGAATGGCTATGAATCAGAAATTAATAAATGTATTATTGAAAGGCAAAAACTTTACATTTGTAAGCTCTAAATGGTTATCTTAGGAATCTTTATACATAAAGAAAAATTTCATATTGTTTGTCCAAACTTTAGCAAAAGCAGTTTAACCAATTCTAACGAAAATTAGCACACTTCTTCTTGTGATCTGTGAAATTTTTCACAGATATTTTTATTTATTACTTAGTAAAATAACTTAAATACTTTTCAAAATATGTGAATATAATATTTCTCAAGTTACACTAATCTGTATTAAATTGTCTCATGTTTTCTTTCCAAGTGTATTTTAATTATTGTTAAGTTATTGATCAGTATAATAAATAATTAATCAATTATTTTTAACGTTTCTTAATTAATTTCAAGCTTTTCTTGAATTATTGGCAAGTCCTTTCTATATATTTGAATTTCATTTTCAGTTAATTTTATTTCTAATACAGAAATGAAGATTAATCCAAATAAAACATATATCCTTATACATATTTCAAAAAGGAAAAAGAATGGCTAAGCAAAATTATGATTTTTATCTCTTAAATGATAAATTAATGGTAGTTGATGAAATTTCATACTTAGGAATTCAGTTTATTATGATATTATCATTTGGAAAACATTTCCAACGAGTACAGAATAAAGCAATTAGAATAATAAATAATTTAATTTACTTCCTAGCTATAATGAAAATTAATTCTATATAAAAACAGTTTCAGCTGTTTTCGTCAATAGTGACAAACTCAATATGTTATTCTCTCCCAGTATGGTGCATGTATTGGCTGTCTCATTTTGAAAAAATAATACAATTATTATACACTAGCAGACCCAGCCACGCATTGTTGTGGCTCAAAATGTATCTATTATAAATGTATAACACTTCCCCCATGGGGGGAAATTTTTCAAAAAATTTCTTCTTAGTATACATTCTCTTGATGTACCCTATTAAAACGCAATCAAAAACGCATCTAAAATAGTATAAATAGAAGCAGAGTTCTTTACGGTAAGCCTTAATACTAACCATCTCCCTTCAGTGGGGGGAATTGACATGTATATTATATAAAAACACATGCGTATTCTAATGCAGCTTTGTGTCAAATTTTCAAAGGAATCGGTAGGAACAAACAAACATTACATTTTTATTTATATAGATAGATAGATGATGATCTGCTTTAGTTCATTTTCACAGAAAAGCATAATGCCTCACAGAAAAGCAAACTTAGGGCGTCATACTCGTAGCGCCATCTGTTGGACATAAAAGCCTTAACCTAGATAAGATCTTTTAATTTATATGAATGTTTACCAGAATAATATACAGCCTATGTCCACCCTGAAGTTCCATTCTAAATATTGGTGAAAGAATTTTTGAAATCGGATGAGTAGTTTTGGAGATTACCCGCTACATCCAAACTTACAAACATTACCTCTTTATAATATTAGTATAGATAAGAAAAATTTATTGTTTGGACAGAGCTATACCTGGATATGCAATTTGTCATGACACTAATAGGTTACAGTTAGAGCCTTTCATGGTAATAAGAATCATGATGTTCTGTAAGAAAATGCCTAACGGCAAGAATATACTGATAAATACCATATTGGAAGAGCTTAAAAGACTAGCTGAGGTTAAAAGGAATTACACCAATAATTTATACAATAAATTTAGTCTTATGCTGGCCAGATATGGATATCACATATATTATTTAACAATACAGAAGCTGATTGGAACTTTGGATTTACTACCTTAGTGGAAAATATGTTTAAATAACTGAATTGATCAAGAAATGAAAAATTACAAATTTCAAAATTTCATTCATAGTATATTAACAATTTAAGCTTTTCTCCTTCAAACAGTTATATTCATTTTCAAATCCCATTTAAGATGAAAGGTTTTGTATGTATTGTATTGTATTGTATTGTATTTGTAATTGTATTTTATCTCAGTTAAACTTTTGATTGTGGAGATTTAATTTAATGTATCCCCTAGTAGCTGGATAAATTCAAATATATACTAATGAATTTGAGTTTCATTTCTAATACTTCTTTAATTAGTTTCCTCAAAAAGTTTGTATCTATGTGAATTTAAATAAGTTTCAAATTATACTTAAATTACTGGTAAATAATTTAAATACAATTTCTTACAAGTTCCTTAATATTTGTACTATTTAATTAATGTCATTTTAATTTAGATTTTACAATATGTGATTTTAAAAAATATATATATATATTGATTATCACCCATATGCAATAAGGACCCAATGTGTTTGTTGTAAAACTCAGCATTGCAAAAATTAAATTGCAACAAATGTTTTCATTTATAATACACGGCTTTCAATTACAATCAACAGATAAATTACAAAATCATTCAAAAGTTACTATTGGTAATGTGTATTAAATTAACATATTGTAATGCAGATTCAGAATGAAAATGCACTACATTTCCAATTTAAATCTGTTGGTTTATGTCGCCATTGGGTAAAATAAAATTACCTGAGTTTTAATGCCATAGAAACCATTAAATTCTTTACTCAAAGGAATGCATGCTGATTCAAAACACTAGCTGAAGTACGCCCAAAAGTTAGCTATGGGCCCAGCAGAGCCAGGCCTATGCAGCAAGTGAGGAAAAAAAAAAACATTCAAATTGTTACATTCAAAATTTAATATTTATCTTACAAAATTGCTAAATTTAATTTTAAAATATTAATGGTTTCTCAAACATTGTGGTCTCAAAATTATATACCCTCCTTAAACCGATTGTCAAGAAGGTTTCCGAAAATAAGAACTTACAAATAGTTTACTGACCTAATCCCACTATATACAAGATATTAAGGAATGATAAGGGGCATTATGAACATAACTCCTTAACAGAAATATACTCAATACTGCTAAGAGACCATAGGTTCAACTCTAACTTAGTATATATAGGCACAACTTTGAGGAATTTGAAAAAAAGAATCAATGAAACATAAGCTTTCAGTGAGCAAAACTGTTGACAGTACTTAATACTTGCTGTACAGATATTTATTCTGTTCCCTAGCTTTTTTTTTATCATACTTATATTGATATTATAATGCTAAATTTAATTATAAATAAAAAGCGTACTAGCCATTTGAAAAATAATTCAACTCAATACTTGCATAGATCTTTTCATCATAATACATTAATACGACCATGTCTTTCAGAAAGAAATCAGATGAAAAACATTGACGGACATTGATCTAAGTGAAGACAGTCATTAGAAGCAGATTATTTAAGATGAATGCAGGAGAAGCAAAAGAAAAAAACATAAAAATCTTAAAATAAAAAAAAAGCAGTATAATAGTTTTTTTAAATCTCATTAAGAATTATCAATCAGATATATGTCATTGATGTTTGACTTCATGGAGAGTCCTCAAATCTGGAGAGAAAAATTATTATTAAATCTAAAATACAAATTATGGATCACTAGGTATGTCATTTCTGGATTATTTTTAAATTGAAACATGTTCATCTACATGAATTCTTTTTCATAAGAGGACTTGTTCTTTATTGTTCAACTTATTCTCTATTTGTAGAAATGACCCTCCTCTTAGAATCAAACTTTTTTCTATTTGTAGTTTTTGTTGCTTGCTAAGTTGACTTTGCTGCACATAGATACAGTTTTCAAAACATCCTTACCAGTCATCTTTTATAAATTGTTAAAAATTTTAAATTATATTTAGTTCTTGCTTTTAATTTTGTAGAGACAGTATTCTATAATTTTGTTCCATTGAGATGTGGCAAATTTTCACTTAACATTTACTAATCCATATACTTCACTAACACCTAATAATGGAAACAAATTTTATTTGATTCCTAAATTTTACTTTACTGACTCTGTTATATATAACAGAAGGAATGTAAACAGTCAGTCAAAAAAATGATCCCCGAAAGATTTTTTTTTACATGTTCGGACTTGATGTTGAAACATCCAGAAATGCAAAAAATGTTGAGTGGTTTTTTTTCTCTATGTATGAATTGTGTGGGGTTTAAAGTTTAATAATGCTTGTTGAAAATTTCTGAAATTTTGCAGGGAGATTTGTGTATCAGGAGATTGATGCTATTAAATTTTGGTGTTTAAAGATTTAGGGTTGGAGATAAGGGAGGTCGTATGTCATATTGTGGGTAGAGTCTGACCTAATGAAGATTTTACTCATTATTAGCATTTAAAATTTTTCATAACTCGTCGTACCCTGAAAATTAAGCATTTTGTCATATTATAATATTTAATTATATAAAAAGTTTTAATAAAATATAACAGATGACACAGTTTTAAATGATGTTACTGGAAAAGTTAATCAACTCATTGCTGGATTTTTAAATTAGCTTTGAATTCAGATATATTTACAATTTATTCTTGTTGACATTTTCTTTGTATTATTAAACTGTAACTCTTTTTTTTTTTGTTTCTTTTTTTTGAATTTTTTAAAACTTGAAGTTGGCACCTAGTCCTTTCCTATTCTATATTTTTGATTATAGATGTAATGTGTGAACATGTTAAAGGATTAGAAGAATGGGAAACAGTTTGCAGATGACAGCAGATACAGGAAATTCTGTTCCAGTTATTACAGCAGGTAGAGAAGAGGAATTAGAGAAGAATTTGTGGCAAGAAAATGAAGAGTTAAAAGTTAATATGAAAAAGAAATAATAAGATATGTGATGGATAGAAGAGATGATGCAAAATTAGTATGCAGGCTTAGTTATTTTTGTTATCAGTTATCAGTTCTCTGTCCTGATGCAAAGCAAAATGAAGCATTTCTTCCATCCTAAGTCCAAAAGTTAACAGGTATTGTATATGAATGAAATATAAAAATCTTTGAAACTAATAAGAATCAGTTATTACATGCAATTTACATGGGACAATGGAAATGAAAGAGGAGAGGGCTAAGAGAACAGGAATGACCATGTTGAATTTGGAAAATGGAAGTATTAATATGAGAGAAACTGAAAGGAGAAAATTTGACAGCACAAATTAGTAGTAATATAGAAAAATAAAGACAAGATTAAGCTAGTGTAACATGATTTATGTTGAGAGAATATTGAACCAATAAAGATTTATGAAAAACAGATGATGATATTAAGGAGTAAAACCAAGATGTCAAGACAAAATAAATATCATTTATAGAAAGATTAACAGATGAAGATGTAAGAGGATGAGAAGTTCAGTAGAATCCTGCAAATTCTATGTAATGTGGACTGAGGAAACAAGTTACCAAAAATGAAAAGTTTTACAGCATAGCAATGATGCTAAGTCTAAATAGAATCTTCATAAAGGCATTACATGTGCAAATTCATATACATATTAACAACATACTAATAATAACTATTTCTACTTGTAGTTAAATTTTAATTTAAAAAATATTGGCTATTCAGTGGCAACTTTTGAGTTAGTGACATTTTGCAGTGAAACCTTGGGAAAAGAGTTATATTCTTTCTTAATACATAGAATTGATTTATTATTGAGTGTTGTCAGTGAAGAACAATACTGTAACTTATTTGATCTTAATGTTAAGTTATAGTGGATCCAGTCATGTTTATATCGACCATACTACGGTGGCTTACAATTTGAATTAGATTAAAAGTTTTAAAATTTAATGTAGTAGACAGTTAGGCAACACTTGTATTTGATTTATCAATTTATTTTTCTCGAGTGAAATATAACATACATTAAAATAAGGAGTGGCTACTGAGAAATTCTTAATTTCCCAGTGGATCAGTTCTCCACTGGATATCATTTATTTTACTGACTGTGAGTTTGTTAATTCAAACAGATGAGTAATGAACTTCTGGACTAAATAGTTTTATTTGAAGTAACAGAGCAATGTTATCACTGTTCAAACTAGAAATTCTTCCTAAGAGAGAATCATATGGTATGAGTTTAATATTAATTTGCACTGTAAAGATTGTACTGAAAATCTGAATAACAAGATTTAAACCTATTTGTATATAATTGTGACATGCAATAATTTTTTTTCATATAGAAATTATTTTATTTTAAACTTAAAAGTAATAAAATAGTAAAACTGGAACATTCTAAACTTTTAAATATTATGAATTGTGATTCTGCTCAATTGTTGTTCATTTTAATGTATTAAATATTTAAAGAATTAAATAAAGCAAAATTGCATAAATCTCAGTGTTATGCAACTTGGTACAACTCAAAATTATTTATAATGCAGTCAGTTTTGTTTCCTAATTTTGCATCTTTCAAAGGACATCATTTCATAAGGAATTTTCATAACATTAAGAGCAATTTTGGCTAAATTGTGGTAAATGATAGAACAGTTTACGGTGCATATAGTACTAGAATATTAAATTTTTACATGGAAATTGAGTAAAAAAAATATTCAAAAAAGAAATTCTCCATAGAAATTTTAAAAACCCCTTCCAACCTAGATAATAAAATGAAATAGATAGATTTAGGTATTTTTGAGATAGGCGAGGACTTTTTTCTGCAAGAGGGTAATTCAATGTGAACAACAAGTTTTTTGGGTTATAGAAGGGAAATTGAATTAACATCAATTGAGTTTCATTTTTTTAAGACTCCCCCTGTGGGCACTAAGAGGGCAGTTTTAGCAAGCCCATTGTGTGTTTTCCAGGCACACAAAGGGACAGCAGTTGGCAATGGACGGTACTCAAAAAATCTGGGTGAATCCCTAAAAAATTCCTGGAGTTTTTCAACCCATCTGGATTAAATCTTTGGTCCTGACAACAGTAAGCTACCAGCTTTAACCACTCAGCCATCTGGCCTAATTGATTTTCATTAGAAGTATTTTATTGAGAAGATGTAATGAATCACAAAAATCAAAGCATAAAAATAATTTTCAGAATTTAAAAGTAGTTCCTAAATCATTTAGGACATTCCAGAACTTTTCAAAACTCTAAATTTTTACTTCACTCTTACAGGGGAACATCCTCACCTATCTCAAAATTATCTAATAAGTGCTTTTACAATATTTAATTAACCGATTTTAATTTTATTACCTAGGTTGGGAGTGGTTTGAATCAATTGTGAGGACCACCACCGCCCTCCAAAAAATATATATATATATATTGTAAACTTATTTGTAATAACTTTTGTTTATTTACTTTATATCTTTTTTTAATTATGTATTCACATAAACCTTAATTGTATCTTGGATAACAACCGAAGTTGTAAGAGGAAATTCGCCTATTTTACCAATCTAGGGACCCCCTTTTTAATATCAAGTAATTAGAATAAAACGGTTTATCATTCAAAATCTTACAACATGCCAAAGAAAAGAGGAAAAAGCAACCAAATAATCAAAAATTATATAGAAATTAGGAACATTGCATCCCCCTTTGTTTTCGGCAATGTTTACATGAAGAACTTAGTCAAAGCAAGCAATGAACAATGACTAAGAACAAAGATGAGTCATGTCGACTTAGAAGATGACTCTAAGAAAGCTGCAAGTCATCCCCAAATATGAAAACACTGTCCCAGCTACAACGATGACACTACCAATGAGTCATCACCCGATGATGACTTTCTCATGCTGAAAGGGTTTAAAAGGAAAGCCCCAACAAGAGAAAGGACAGTCCTGTTAGCAGTTCAGTTAGAGATGGGGACACAGTGAGCCAGAGCAGTGTGGTCAGAGAGAAGAGACAGTCCTGTTAGAAGTTCAGTTAGAGATGGGGACACAGTGAGTTAGAAAAAGTTCAGTCGGAGAGGAGGCACAGGCCAGTCAGAAGAAGGCAGTCAGAAAGGAGAGACAGCTCCAGTCAGAAAAGGGCAGTCAGAGTGAGGACACAGTCCCGTTAGAAAGACAGTTAGAAGGGGACAGCGAAATAGTCAGCAATTGTGGACACAGTCCAACCCGAGAAAGAGTGGCTCAAGAGAAGACAACTGAAAAACGAGCAAGAACCAGACGAAGTGCAGTGAACACCAGAAACCTCCGCAGTCTTGGCCGTCAAGTCAACGTCACAAGAGAAGACATCTTGTTTATCTGGTATGTTGTGAGTCGCATAAGTTCGAAATACTCCCCGTTAGGTACCCCCCTCGTTGAATAGATAAGAATAGGCAAATTTCCAAAATCGGCTTTTATAATTGTTCTAAACTTTCGTTTATGTTAATAAATGTCCTTAAATTGGTTATATCTGACTCTGTATTCTTCCTCCTGAGAGGCTCATTCCTGGACTTCAGAGTGACTCTTACCCTCGCGCCTTAATCACCCATTTCATCACAAACGGTGGTGTGTCCGATAAAACACACCTGGTGGCAGGACTCTACCTAAAAAAGCATTTAATAAACCTTTTACGGCCCCCGATCCCCACACAATTTTTGAAAATAAAAAATTCTCCATAGACAATGTAATAATAAAACAGTGATTATTTTTGTTTTTATTTTCACTGAATGAAAAATTTCTAATATTCTACTACTATATGCCTCTCAGTGTTCTATCATTTACCATGATTTAGTTGAAATTGTACTGTGTTGTGAAAAATCCTTAAGAAATTATATCCTTTGACATTAATCTTTATTTCCAGTCAAAAAAATGAAGTATGAGATCATTTCTCTAACAGTAAAATACACTGTAGTATAATGTGGGCTCATTTATTACATGGCTCTGAAAATTATGTAGATATAAAATTTATTCCTATATTTTTTTTTATCATTAAATGTCAAATTTTTTTATTTTCAGGAGAGTTGTAATCACCATGATGTGCAAACAGAAAAATTCTAAAGATTTAGATTCGTCTGCACCCTTGGCGATCTTTGGAGTGCTTACGGACGTACAATATGCAGATGTAGATAATAGGCCTGCCGGTTACGATCCTACTAAAACCAGATATTATCGTCAAGCATTGGATCATGTTGATTCTGCATTTAATTATTGGCAAAAAATGACACACCCTGTAAAATTTGTTTTACAGTGTGGTGATATTATTGATGGCCTGAATCGTGAATCATGTGGATCTCTTACGGCTTTACAGAAAACTCTCGACAGATTTGAGCAACATAAAAACATACCAACGTTTCATACTGTCGGAAATCACGAACTCTATAATTTTTCAAGATTGGAACTAGTGAAACACTTTGCTAAAACTGTTAAAAAGATGAAGATTCCTCCTTCTATGTTTAATTCTGAAAGGCGACCATTAAGTGAAACTGACAATCTCCCTTTAAACGATCTAACTTTATATTATAAATTTTGTCCTGTTGCAGGGATGAAATGCATTTCATTAGATTGTTTTGACATTAGTGTAATTGGTTATGATAAGTTGCATCCAAATTACATGAAAGCAGCTCAGATACTGTATGATCACCATGGTCATCATGATTTCGATGGATGGGACTGTGACGGATTATTACAAGGATTAGAAAGGAGATTTCAGCAAATGAATGGAGCCTTAAGTAAACAACAGTTACAGTGGTTAGACGAGGAACTTTTAGAATCTGATAGATTGGGAGAGAAAGTGATTGTGTTTGGTAAGTGTTTCAAAATTTAAGGATTGGGCTGCAATTTTCAAATTGCAGACTTATATATTCCACTTTCATCTAGCTGACCTTTACTAACCTCAAAAGGGGTTATATAGATGAAAATCGAGATCAGATATTGAAAGCTTATAGGCTGGAGATTCTGATTAACTATATACGAACTTTCTGTTCTGAATCCGAATTCACATGGTTTCCATTCAAAATTTTTATCTTGCTATATAGTGATAAATTTGGTATAGAATTGATCCTTATAATAAACTGGGATCAATAATATATCACTCAACTCTTAAGGTGTACAATTCATGTAATCTCATATTTTAAAAATTTAAATAATTTATATTTGATTTTATTTTGAAATACAGTAGATCCCCCTATAAGACGGTAGATACGTTCCGTTCTTTATGAATCAATTTTGTAGGAATCATAGTTTACGGACTACGGCTGTTTGAAAGGTTTTCTTCCATAAAATTAATCGATTCTAGACTAATTCGACTCAACATTTCCAAAATACGTATATTTTTTTGAAAATAATCCGTATAAACTACGTTATAAACAAAAAATTGTAGGATTGCTTACCGAGTGTGTACCGTTCGACTACGCCCGTTGCTAAAGCTTGGTTTCGTCGCGGAACAGCGCATCAAATTGCGGCCGCGATTTCTGATATTATTTTTCTGCGAAAACTTCGTTGACCTTTGGAGACATCATTAATATAAATAATTTTTATGGCCGTTAAATAAGAAATGTTTCTTTCACAAGAAATGTATAAAATTACAGTACTAAACAGACGATAGGTCGCCTAACTCGCCGTAGCGTGACGCTAGACGGCGAAAAATATATATTTAATTATAATAAAGTTACAATAAATTAAGTTAATATATAATTATATATACAGTACCTAATTTATATATAATTAATATATAATTATATGTACAGTACCTAATTTATATATAATTTATATAATACTGTCCAGACGATAGAAATCTCTCCGTAGCGTGGCGCTACGGACGGCGGGAAAGTAGTTTGGCTGCCCGATGACGTTTTACGTATTATTAGAATTTATTTTTACCGTTGTTTACGGATATTGCCACAATTTTTATAGGAATCATAACTATAGGAAACGGTTTTATAGGGGATCTACTGTACTTTATTTAAAATTAAAATATTAAACATTGAAGTCCAGCATTGTGATGATGTCACAATAACTAATTTCAATTTTAGCTTTTAATTAAAATTTGAGTAAATGGTAGAATTGCCATGATTTAAAGAAATAATGATTAAAAATTATCTTTCTAGTTTTAAGAAATCAATGTCCTTTAATGGTTTTGTAATTTCAAAATAAGATCTTTGGTTAGATCTGTAATTTTCAACAAATCGAAAATGTCAAGAAATCTAATAAAAATTTTCATTGTCACTGATCGTGTAAGTGAATCAAACACTCCAAAAACCATAAGACTAGTGAAGAGTTTTAATTAAAATATGCTAAAGACAAATATTTTTGATCCTACACCTAAGGAAATTACATCTGCGGAAAGCAAAATTTACTCAGACAATTTGAATTTCTGAATGAAAATATAAAATTCATAACTAATCAGTTTTTTTCAAGTACAGTATTCCAATATAGAACAAAGAATGGGCCTGAAGTAGATCTTATGTGTAGATTGAAAATGCTTGTCTTTAATATATATAATTAAAATTCTTCTCCTGTCTTATATTAAAGTTTTTGGAGTGTTAGAAATTAATAAATTTAGATTTCAAAGTGATCAATGTAACATATAATGTTGAAATGTAATTTGAAAGTGAAAACAAAATTGTTCTTACATACAACTGAATAAACATTTTAGTGCATAGTTACATCAACACATGATCCAATTTGTTGTTGTTAAGTTCCAACAAGTCGTCATCGACTCCTGGTGACTGCATGGACAAGTCTTTCCTTGTCCATGATCCAATTTAATTAATGTCAATCTGATTAGTTACTAACTAATTGATTTAACTATCTCTAATCAAATTAATAACTAATGTTTAATGTAGTCCAAAAAATAGCTCAATAATTCACTAATTTCTATTAAATTTTATTCATATTTCTGATGTCTTTTAGTATTTATTTGTTTAGTGAACTTCTTTAAAAAAATATCATTCTTCCATTTTTATTTATTATGCTCAAAATTCCAGAATTAATATCTAATTAAAATCTATTGACTGCTGCAGATTTTTTTAATGTATATTTAGATTTAGAAGGAAGAGTGAGCTATAGAATAATTAGGAAATATATCCTCATTTTCAATTTGTCATTTGGTCAGCCAGAACTCTATAATTTCATCAGAAATTATAATTGAATAGTAATCTCTTCTAATTATTTTTTTTTCTTATCTACATTTCTTATTTAACCTAACATTAATTCACAAGAATGCTTTTCTAGTTGTAGATTGCAAAGAACATTATTAAAAGTTTCTAAAGATTATAATTTTTATTTTATTAGGTCATGTTAGTTTAGCACCAGATAGTTCTGACTGGAGTTGCCTTTTATGGAATTACAATGATGTTATTGACATTTTTCATCGGCACAACTGTGTTATTGCATACTTCAGTGGTCATACGCACAATTCGGGATATGCCATGGATTCGAAAGGCATTCATTATGTAGTATTAAATGGTATCGTAGAAACATCACCCAGTGACAAGGCTTTTGCCACTATATCCCTTTATGATGACAGACTCGAAATAAATGGACACGGTAGAGAAGAAAGCCGTACTTTGTGGATAAATACTTCTTGTGATGGCATTGGTTCTGCGGAAGATGATATTGAATCAATTTCGGTTGTTCAGTCATCAAAACCAATTAAAGTGGAAGTTTAACTACAACTTTAAAAAAAGTAAGTATATGATTCTTTGTTTGACAATGGCCTTTTTTCCAGTATTGATACAAAGTTCAACCAATCTTCAATTTGAAGAGAATCTATACATGTTTAGATTGTGTCTAGTTGTTTTTTTCCCCCCTCCATCAAAATCATTATAAAAATTTATTTAAACATATTAACTTTGTACCATGAAAAAAATTTAGACTTGATTGGTATTGGTTCAAAATAGAAAATGAATTATTCCTAATATACTATCAGAAATACAAACATACAAGAATATAAATCGAAAAATTGTTTATATTCATGAATAAATTAAAAAATTTACAAAAGCATTACAAAACAACATTCTTAAATATAATTTTAGAAACACATTGTTTCTTATTTTACTGACAAATTAATTTTGAGTTGAAATTTATTGAAATTGCTTTAACAATTACATATGTTTTTATTATATCAGAAAGAACAATTATCTTTTCCAGAAGTACAGTCGATCCCCCTATAACGCGGTAGATACATTCCACTTTATAAGAATTTTACGTTGTAGGAATTCTTAAATACATGAGCCAATCACAGCCCAGCACATGTGCAGTTTATAGACTATGGCTGTTTGAAAGGTTTTCTTCCATAAAATTAATCGATTCTAGACTAATTTGACTCAAAATTTTCAAAACACGTATAATTTTTTGGGAATAATCTGTATAAAGTATGCTATAAACAAAAAATTGTAGGATTACTTACCAAGTGTGCACCGTTTGACGACTCCATTGCTTAAGCTTGTTTTTGTCGTGGTGCAGTGCACCAAACAGTGGGTGCGTTTTCTGATAAGTTATTTTTCTGCGAAAAATTGGTTGTACTTTTGAGACATCATTAATAGAAATAATTTTTATGGCCGTTGAATAAGAAATGTTTTTTTCACAAGGAATGTATAAAATTACAGTATTGTATTAGAATTACAGTACCTAATTTATATACTGTACCGACGATAGTAAACTCAACTTGCCCGCCTCTCGGTAGCATGTAAGTAATTCAGCTGCTCGTCCACTATTGGTCCAGATTTGACCAATCCTGTCATGACACGAGTCAGTGATGACATTTTACTGCATTTTATGAGTCTTTTTTAGCGTCTTTATAAGAATATGGTTGCAATTTTTTGTTGCAATATATGAATCCGCATTATATGAACCCGCGTTATAAGGGGGGGTTGACTGTATTTAAAAAATATATTTTCAAACTGTTTTAGACTGCATAAATGAAATGAATTTAAATACCTTTTAATAGTTTTTTGTTTACTTTCTATCAGTACATTAAAATTCCTAATATATTTTTATAAAATTTTATAATGGAAAATGGAAACATTTGAAAATCTTTTTTCAAATTATTACTTTATTTTAAACATAAAACTACTACTACTATTACTACTATTTCATAACTTTGAGTTCTTTATCAAAAGAATTTATTTATCTATAGTACTGATTAANTAGAAATTCTCCCTAAGAGAGAATCATATGGTATGAGTTTAATATTAATTTGCACTGTAAAGATTGTACTGAAAATCTGAATAACAAGATTTAAACCTATTTGTATATAATTGTGACATGCAATAATTTTTTTTCATATAGAAATTATTTTATTTTAAACATAAAACTACTACTACTATTACTACTATTTCATAACTTTGAGTTCTTTATCAAAAGAATTTATTTATCCATAGTACTGATTAACAGTTCAGAATATTCTGAAAATATGTGCTTGATACAGGTACTCTACCAAATTTCTGGCATCCTTGATTTCAAAGCATTGCTGGATTAATCATTTTGCTGGTTCCCTCTTGTAATTTTGTCTGGATTAAAGGAGGTGCTGGCCTGTCAATTGCCAGAAATTTGGTGGTGTACCTGTATTAGAATTTAACTTTACTGTAGATGAGGCCAATGTCTTGAAAATGATTTGACAGATATTGGTTAACTGGGCTAGATATTCTATTCTTTACTGTTAGATAAATTAAATCTTTAAAAATGGAAAGTTTATTTTTTTAAATATTTGAAGAATGTATATTAAGTCATCTTGGAGAAATGTTATTAGTATTCTGTAAATATTGTGTAATAAAACTCATTTTTAATTCAGATATCATATAATAGGTTTAATAACATTTCATATTTATTGAATAGTGTAATTACTAATTACATCTAATAGGTGAAATGTATACATCTGAGAAGGTTTAAACAAAAAGAAATTTCAATCATACATTTTTATTTAAAGGCTTGCTAATTTTATCTTTTTAATTGAATCATATAACAAATTTTCATCAAATTGAAATATATTAGACAAGCTTTAATCAAGACCCTAACTTAATTTCCAATTATATGATTTTGTTTTAATAAAAAGTTTTTGATTCAGTTTAAATTAAGAAAAATAACTTTACACACAGATTTTCATAAAAAATTATATAAATATTGCATTAATCTGTTGATGAGTGTAGACTTGCATTTCTTTTTTGTTTATATTTAGAAGTAAAATTTTTTAAACTAGATTGCATAAAGTAAAATATAGATCTTTGTCTATATTAAAAACAATTCTTACCAAAACTTTTTACTTAACTTTTAACTAATGTATAAATCATTCAGATTATAAACAATCTAATACTAAGTATAAAGACATTTTTTTTAATTCATAAAATTTTGAACCGTAAACTACACCACAAAACACTGGGATATGTTAAATAACCAGATATAGGTTCTAGGAGTGTTAATTTTGAACCATTTTCAATAAATACATGTTCAATGGGTGTCTTGCCTGGGAAGGCAGATTTAATGCAGCTGAATAAGCAAACCATTGACGTAGCCCATTTTCATTTGAAACACTATAATTGGTTTGCTTATCTGGCTATTTTAAATCAGTTTATATCTAAATAAAAGCCAATTGTCACTAATTTTTATGATTTGACAATTTTTTAAAAATAACTTGAAACTAAGCTAAGTAACACTGCTATTTTACACTAAATTATTTCTAATTAAATATAAGACATTTGAAAGAAGAGAGGAGAATGATGTAAACTAGGATTCAAACCAAATAACTTCGAAAGTCCACTTATACTACCAATTCATATATTTAGATAACTGCTTCTTATGCATCTTGGAACAAAGATTAATTTATCCTGATAGCTTAGTTGATACTGTATCTGCTCATATGTATGGTTTGAATTTTTCTTGCCATTTGGAGTTGTCTTTTCAGACATTTTATATTAATTTAATAAATCAAAATAGCTTATGAAATTCTGCTTTTTTATTAGGTTTATTATCTAGTTCCAAAATTACAGTAATTTAAAAAAAAGCTCACTATTTTCTTTTATTCATTAAATTCTTGATGCTTTTCAGCTATAATAGATATAATAAATCAGTAATATGTAACTTAAAAAGTAGTTTCCAATAAGATATATATCATTATGCAAATGTTATGATTTTTAATTTTTCAATTTCCTATATCAAGTTATTTTCTCAAAGTAATTTTAACTTGTTTATTAAACTTATTTTCATATGTAAATATGCATTTATGTTGCAAATAAAAATTAATGTTTAAGCATATTTGAAAAAATTTTTTATTCAATGAAAAAAATTATTCTTCTTATCTCAGTTTGCCTGGTAAGCTGATTTTCAAAGTTATTATTTTGTTTAAGCATTCTGGCATTTCTATATAATTATCTGAATAATTGTTTTTAACCAATAGATAATGCTATTTTGAAGTCTAGAAATTTTAAAGTATTAAAGTTTCAAATAGTAGGAATGAATATTAGCCCAGTTAACCATTTTATAAAAATATATATATAATTTTATANACATACAACAATTTATCAGAGACGTCAATTCCAACAAGTTTGGCCTAGAACTTGAGCTACATCAAGAAAATGATAAAACTATACATTTCCTAGACATAACAATAGAGAGGTTGCGGCCGACGTTTTAAACGCGAAAACGTGTACGTCGGACGTTCGGCGCTGCATTCCTAAAGGCCTAGAAGTTTGACAATGGTGTTTGGATAGTGAGTGGAATCATGCTCGACGTTCCAAACACCATTGCCAAACTTCTAGGCCTTTAGGAAAGCGGCGCTGAACGTCCGACGTACACGTTTTCGCGTTGAAAACGTCGGCCGCAACCTCTCTAATATATTTTATCGTACATGATTCGTTATCCGAACCACCCCAGTCCCCAATTGATTCGGATAAACGACGCTCTACTGTAACTTCGAAAATGTAAACGTCTGGTTTGCCTACTATATTATGTAGTGTAATGTGCCTTTACGACTTCTGTAGAAAAGTGTAAGAAATTATTAGCTATAATCCCAAACAAACTTTCTTTGTATCTAAGAACTCGAGACAATCTATAGTTGAAAAAACGCTTTTTCTCGGTTAGGCTAATGCTTTCCAGTGTACGGTAGTAACAAAAATTGGCTCGGTCCCCGATAAAGCATACGGTAAAGGCGCTAATTTGTTCCGGTCCAAACACATCTAATTCGCAATTCCATTAAATTGTATAAGCTGCCATCCTCGCAAATGGGCGAATCGGGAGTCTAACGGTTAGAAAAGACATCTACGTGCGTCGCACACCGCCAGTAAAACTATGAAAAGATATTGTTTAAAATTGCAATATAAAGAACCGCCGTTCAACAGACCAACGACTCGTCTACGGCTTCTAGACAATTAAGCAAGTTAGTTTTTGCTCTGTGCACGTACAGCAATTTACACCGAATTTTGCGGCATACGTCCTCGACGATTCCACTCGGTGGCAGAACCACATCTAAACGTATAAAGCTCTTTAAAAACATCCCGTAACAATATTCGTTACTAATGTCTTTTTCGGACGTAAAACTAGGAAGAAAGAGGAGTTGGACAGATTCGTGTAACAGAGAATGAAAAAAGAACACCGCACTAAGAAGTGGTTTCGGAGCGGATAATGGGGGCAACGTTTAATGATTTATCCTTTTTGAACCGTACGACCCAGAAGAGAGCTACGGACGGTCGTGTT